TCAAGACAAATTCCAAATAATTAATTATTGAGTTAGGAAAACTTCATTTTATCATGTTAAAAAGTTTTATTTTAAGAAATTAAAAACAATGGATGCTCTAAAGTTAGTTTTTTGGAAAACTTGATTTTTTTTCGACCTTTTAAAAATATTTCTTAAAGAAGTTCAACTGTGAGACAACATGAAATGCCAAACATGAAACTTTGCGAAATGAAATTCAGTTTTTCTTATCGGGGGGAACCCAACAACCACACCGGATACTGAGGCAAACGTGATGATGCATTTAAGATTCTTCCGATTGGTCATTATTGTCTGGCATTTAATGTTGGCCTCGTCTTCGACGGACGGCGTTTTTGATTGATCTACTCATTGACGTTGCCACTCCATCCACTTGGTCCACTCCATCCTGGTCCTCCTGCTCCTCCCCGTCCACCTGATCCTCCGCCTCTTCCTCTTCTGGAGAAAGAAGGGGCCAGAAGACACAGATGGCGGCAGTCGATAAGCGAAGTGGCAAGCGAGCAAAAAGTGCAATGGCGTTGACAAAATGGATGATGGGGCCCAAGGTTGCACAAATGCATCGCCTTTTTTCGGAGGATCGCGGTTCAAAGGGGCAGCTACCGAACGTCTTGATAGAGTTGTACAGCAAATAGATCGCGGTATTCTCCGATTTTATGATTATTGTCGCAGAAATTACTTATTCCGAGGTCTACAAGGAGGTTTAAGGGAAATCATTAATAAATTGAATTTTCAACCAAAGAAAAAACTATCCCACTCGAGTAAAAAGTTATTAAAAGTGTGGTTCTGTAGAAAGTATGCTACAAAAAAATTGACACGAAGAAATGGAATGCTAGTGCTTTATTGAGTACTCTTAAGTAACCAATTTTTTCCAATGATTATAAAAATTCTGATGTCTTCTCCCCCTCTCATTTGCAGTTCCTCTCTCTTTCTTTCGTCGCTTCCTTCTATTTCTCCGAATAGACGAAACTGATCATCAAAAATGCGCGATGTCCAAAGCGTTTTGCAACTTGCCGCAAACGCAAAGGCAGGAGCAACCACATCGACATCAGCATCTTGCAGTTGCATACCCCGGCGTACACAGGAGGCATTCCCAGACCCCCCTCCCCCTCTACACTGTAAACAATTTTTATTTTTATTGATTATGTATTTGACTTCATTTAAAATATTCAGTGGATACAAACTAATTTTTAAAAGTTTTTTAATGACTATTTTATTAATGTTGTCACAATGTTTGAAACGGTAATGAATTTAACAAGTGCTTTGTCCTCGTTACTAGATTTTTAACTAATTAAAAGGAATTATCCCTTTTTTCATGTCCACTTAGATGAATAACAAAACTAAGAGGAAAGTATATAAACAATTTGTAGAGTGCTTTTATCGACTATTGTAACTATATAATCTAAAGGATTTTCGTAATCGAGAATTTTATCATTATGGTATTTATCAGTGTTCATTTAAATAACAGGACAAGAATACTTACACTTATAGAATAAATACTTCATATTATTTCTCTCTGTGCACCTTCATCCCGTGAGATATGAAGGGACGGGTTGGGGGGTAAACGTTTCCCAGGCCTGGGATCGGGGATCGAAACGATCGTGCGTCATATGAATGCCTCGTGTTTTCTGCAGCTCCTCGTCCGTTGTCAAGAAACAAATTTGGTGGCTACTCGTTCTCGATCTCGTCCGTTCGATCGTTCGATTTGGGAGCAGGATCTGGAATAGTGTGGATGTGGGGGACGGGGGAGGGGGGGAAGGAGGGACTTCGGAGGCAGAGACACAACTGCTAACAACTGCATTCGATGCAAGTTGAAAAGCACCACAGAGAGAGAGACAAAAACAACTTAAAAGCATTTTGCAGTCGAGCCGACGCAAGACTTCATCATCTTTGTAGCTGGAAAATAGGGGGGATGGGGGAGGGGGGGGTCTAAGAGGTGGGTCGAAGAGGTCCGGGGGGCAACAATTTAATGCTGACGATCGCAGTTGTTTGCTCCCCGGCTCGTTTGGCCATTTTGCCGACGCAAGGAGATAAGAAATTTCGCGATTTGCTTGGCAATTGGGAAAAACTAGAAAAGCAACAATTTGATTACCGACACAGAGAAAAAACACGTACATAGCTTCATAAGTCGGTAAGTATTTTATATTTATGTTGTCTTTATCCTTACAGATATCTTTCTAAATATGTAACTTTTTGTAAAAAGCACTTTATGTAGGTTGATTACGACTGCCAAACTATTTTACTATGCAACATGCTTAAATATGTTCATTTTAAATGTAAAATTATGTTTAAGCTAAGTAAAATTTAAATCAAATTTAATTTAATTAATTTAGGGATTATATTAGTACTCAAAAATCATAAGTTTAATGGATCGTTCGATAAATTTTCAAAAAATACTGATCTAGAAATTGACTAGATCTAATGATAGATGTAAAACTAAATCAAGTTTTTCGGTAATTGCATTTTTTGTATTCTTTGAAAAAGTTTCCAATACTGATGGGATTTCAAATATTTCTATGATTAATTAGTGTTTATTATTTATTATTATATTATATATTATTTTTTCGCTGTGCACCCGGTGCGGCTGAATCTTCTACATGTTCTGGTTCTTCCCGAGAACTCGCGGGATAGGAAGAGCGCCTTATCAGTGCGCTGGAGTCCGGGCAAGTCGCTGCCGGATCGTGTCCGATACGGGGGCTTAGGATTCTCGTCCTGCCGCTCGACCTCATCCTCATCCCCATCCGCATCCCCGTACCCATCTGCGTCCCGGCACCCCAGAGATTGGCCATCGGATGGCTTTGTCTTTGTGCCGCCGAGCAACTTGGACGCTGCACGGGTTCGCCGCTGGCGGTGGAGAGCGGCAAAAACGCACCGAATATCAGGGCCAAAGCGGAGCCTGCAAAACAGAAGCGCGCCCGGAATGTGAAAAGTTGGTTCCCATGACTCCATCTCCCTGGGACAAGGCGCTGTTCAAAGACACCGAAATTCATCGTCTCCATCTTCGCTCCATGTAGCTTTTGTTGCCGTTCCCGTTGCCGTTGCCCTGCCCGTTCGTGGGTTTGTCTCTTCCGTCTGCCTCGTTTTGTATTGTATTTGTAGCTCCGGTTTGGGACCCCCATCCCCCAACCCGAACCCGAACCCCTACTCCAGTCCCAGCCCCCAACTATAACCCAACCCCACCCACCGCCGCTCACCTCGCGAGTTGTTCGCTGTTTATCAGCGATTTGGAAGCATTCAACACGCTGTTTGAACTAACATAAAAACATATTGAAACATTTGGCATTGCTGGCGATAAGAAGTGGAGCCCAGGAGGGAGTGGTTCAACGGTTACACGGAGAAAAATGGTAGTAAAATGTTAAAATCAGTATTTTATATAGCTTACATCCTTAATTCGTTAAATATATCAATCAATTACTCGCTTGATCTAGATTCTGTTAAAATACAACTTATATAAATTCTAGGCCTGATGATTTGTTTAATATTGATGGGTAGTAATAGTAAATAAAGTTCACTAGCTTTGCCAAGTATGGAACATAATATGTGAAATGTGAAAAATATTGCTTTTCAAAGGCCTAACCTTTAAAGTTTAAACTTTTAAAAAAATTGAAAACTTATTTAAATCCACAAAAATAATATCACATAGCAAAAGTTGAAGCATTAGTCTACGAGTTGCAAAGTTGAAATGCTTTAATTAAAAGACTTAAATTTGTGAGTAAGTCAGATATATGAAAGTGAATAAAATGTAATTTTCTCTATGAATTCAATACCACATCAATGTTAGGTATTTATTATAAGGTATTTTCTCCCTGTGCAGGAATACTCCGTCTTAAGTAGGCACTTGAGGTGAGAGTGCGATGAGAATTCGACCGGAGATGGGGATTTTCGGATTTGGGAAGGCCTAGCTAGCATACTTCTGTGCGCATCCGCGTATACCTCAAAGCAAATACTTCGAAAACATTTTCATTACTCCAATTTGTCGTCGTCATCTTGGCTGCTTGACGGGTGTCTGGCTCGTTGGCTGATTTGATTGTCCCGGCCGCCATTCATAACTTTCACGGCGGGATGTGGAAAGCGGAAAATCGCAAGCGGCACGCGGCCAACGGGGGAAGGGGGAAGAGGGGCACTGTGTTTACCCGGGTAATGAGCCCGAAATTACCCGTAGTTGCCATGGCAAAAGGCTTTCCACAAACCCTGGCAGTTCATCATACCGTTTGCCGCCGGCACTCCTTTCACCACTTTTTGTGCATTTAATTTGCTCGGTTGTGCAATCCAAAGTTTGTCAAGCTCTTCGGCTGGGCGGGCATTTGACCTTGCGGAATATGCAAAAAAAATATAGTGTCGAACGGAATGCCACAAAATAGAGTTTATTGGTGCAAAATTGATGTTTTTGGCACCCACACACACGGAGGTCAGGTTAAAAAGAGCGAACAATGCGGCAGGAAATATGGGAAAGGGACTTTTCCACCTGCAGCCTGCAATTTATTGAGTGCCATGTTCCCTTGGAATTTGTAAAGTATATTCCAAAGGACCTATTGTGACTAGAACCCTAATCAATAAATTTTAAAAATCAAAATAAAAGCAAAGTTGATGTTGTTAAATGCTACATTGCATTGAATAGGGATATTTATCCGCGTCTTAGTTTTATAAATAGCTTATTATTTATTTATTTTATTTATTTGTTATAACTAACAAATTTATTTGCAACAGTGTAGGTTATATTTTATTAAAGTTATTACTGTTATTAACTAGTTTTATAGCTGAAATTTTTGTATAATTTTGAATTACTTAAGCCTCTCTTTTCTGTATAAAACTTATTTGCGTATTTAAATGTAAGGTGGTCTAAAAGTTTAAAGTTTGTTTAAATTTGAATAAGACGCTCACTTCCAAAATCAAAATATTTCTTTTAAGGATCATACCACTACCTACTAAGTAGACTTATTAAATAACACTTACTGATTAGATTACCAACTTAAAACGCAACCCTAAAGTTAGAATATCTGCAAGAAACATTTATGCCATTTTCACATTTCGTGTTACGATAAAAAGGGTTTGTAAACAGGAAAGTAGTTCGAAAATGAGTATGAAAGCTTTGGAGGGTTATATTTGCTGAAAATGAAATGAAGTGAACTACTAAATTCCCGGATAACAGAGTATTCCTTGTTCGTGCTGGCCAGCTATCGTGTTCATTGTCTTAACATGCCCAGGACTACTTGCATATTCGACACAAATGCCAAACGCGACCAGGCATCAATTTCAACAGCTGCTCCGGGGATTCCCATTCTCATTCCCATTCCCATTCCCAGTCAGCCTGCCGTCGACGTTCCATTTCGTCTTTCGTCCGCCATCGTCATCGCCATCCTCCATTTCGACAAACGAGGCGAGTGCTGAAAAATGCAAATCAAGTTTCAAATATTTGAACAATAATATTTGTGGAATGCCACCCAAATTACTCACGCAGTCCGAGGGCGAGGGCATCGCATCATACATATTTAAAATGTCGCGTGCTGTTAACTTTTGAAATGCCAAAAATTAAGGGAATGGAACGGGGACAACGGCTCAAACCCCATATACATTCTAATTAATAGCGGCGGGGATAAATGCTCGAAAAAGGAAGTGCGGCACAGTCAAAAGGCGGCATTAGAAGCGAACTCTATAACCAGATGCTGATCCGCCGATCGGTGGTCCTCGCGTTCGGAGCTGTCAAATGAATGCATTATGCATATGGAATGAGCAGGATGCCCCTGCCACGGAGACAGTCTAAGGCTTCCCTCCATTTGGACAGCTTATCGCGGCCGAACGAACGGCTACCGATGTCCGTCGCTTGAGTGCCTCTGGATCCATGACGGTGCACCTTTCCAGGCCAACATCCCAGTTTCCAGGTGCCGCTGGCTTACCTGATTTACCCGGCCACCGGGGGCGCCGGCCGGAGTTATCGACGACACATTGACAGGACATAATCGGCACACTTGTAGCGGCTTATCTTAATTGCTACTGACCTGCGCAACGTTTCGAGTTCCCAGCTCCCATATCCCATACTGCATATCCAGTTCACCAGCTCCAGTTTCAATCCCAATCCACGCGGAGGTTTCTCAGGTCCCGCGAGTTATTTTAAATTCGTTTTTCAAGTGCTTGTCTACCAAAGAGCGCCCAGTATGTTACACTGACGAAAACTAAACTAAATGCCTTATTTTGCTTTTGAAATTAGTACTAGCTAATATTAAATGTTGGCGAATTTCAGTTAAATATGCGCTTCTTTTATGTATCTTGAGCTTATCATAATTTGACTAAGCACAGTGAACATTCACTACTTTCATTCGTTATTAAAAAACTATAACTATAAATGTTAACACTTTCAGAAAAATAAAACACAAATTTATATTGAAACCTATAAACTTCCGAAATCTAGGCTATTATGATATGTGGCTCGAGAAGTGCTAGAAAGGATCCTAATAAAAATAGTGATAAGGAAGTTTAATCAACAAATTCAAATTCAATAGGATAAGTTTAGCGTCTAAAAGTTGATGTCTGATCCATATTTATGTAGAGTATTATAGCGAACATTCTTCGAAAAATGGATCCTAAATTAAGAATGAAGATTTTCAAGCAGACAAATAGAAATTAAACACAAATCTATAAACAGTATGTAATTTTGCAATGGACATACTAGACACTGCCAAAAAATGGCTAAAATAAATACACCACGGGCTCACATTGAAAATTGGTTAATAAAAAACCGACTCTCGTCTCACTTGCCCCTGTGTTTTTTATACTTATTGTTCTCTGTGGAGCTCGGTGTGTGTCATAACATTTTGCATATTTGTTTGTTAGCTGATGCCGCTGCTGTTGGTTTTTCTTTTCTTTCAGTTGGCATTTCACATTGCTCAGCTGGGCGTTTGTGGTCATTGCTAATTAAAGATTATGCGCTGCGCGTGTCCCCGATGCATTCCCCGGATCGAAATGGGATTCCCCGGATGGCTGATGGTCGGGTTTACCAGTTGGGTGGTAATACTGGATGGTGGATACTCGATACTGGCTACTGGATACTGGATACTGGCCACTGGCTACTTGATACCCGTATATATCGAGTGCGCTGTAAATGGCCGTGGATTGGCGATTGCCTTCGACTTTGCTTTTGTTTTATTCCGCAGAAGTGTAAATTGCGGCTCAATGTGCGAAATTATCATTACCATATCGGGTTGTCAAGAATTTTAACGGCCATCTGAGTGAGTGTTTGTGTGTGAGTGTGTGACAAACGCAAGCTCATGTAAGTGCTCTCATCGAGTGGATTTACGTGGAATTGCAAGTGCTGCAACCCCCCTTTTGCCCTCACCCCTACCCCACTATCTGATGGATGGAGCTGCCACTCACCCGCTCTCCCACTCTCCTGGACTCCATCTCTCTCTCTCTCGCACAGGTGGACACCCAATATGGCTATTGAGTTATTCACTTTGACATGCCGGCAGCAACGACAGTGGCATTCCACTCCATTGTGAGTCCACTGTTGTTGAGCCGAAAACTGCAGCTGGAATGCGTATTAGCAATAACAGGGCGCATATTTCATGCACTTTTCGTTATTCTCTTTATTCTTTTTGCCTATGTGTGGTTTTTTGGGTTTTCGGGTGTGTGCGCGTTATAGGTGGATGAAGAATTATGACAACATGGCATAGTTGGTGAAAGTATTTAGGAGCGACCTGGCGGTTGCATGCCCCACCACCATTACCCGAGGCCCCCGCACAACCCCCCTTGATTTTAATTACGCCCCTTTTCAGCAGTACACGCACATTTTTGGGCTTAAGGTCAGCTGGCAAATCCTGCGGCAAAAGTCCAACCCTTGGCAAGATGTCTGCCGCAGCCACTGTGCTGCTTACTCACACACACAAATACACTGGAAATAAACCGGTTTCCTGAGAGCAAGGGGTTCAACCTCTTCGCATTGGGCGGAGACTTGAGCTTGCTATTGCTCTTATCTCTCTCTTTCCACTCCTCGCCGCTCCCCTCTCGCTCTGACCTGAAATGAATTGTTTGCCTTGTGCGAATTATACATCACGCCAGGTCTGAAGTACACTACAGTTGTCTCGCTCAGTCGCAGGCTGAGGAGTAAGGTAAAGTGAAGTGCGAGCAGGAGGGCCGACTACTTCTTCCGACTTTTGCCAAAATGTTGCAATTGTTCATAGGAGTAGTAAGTTGTAGGAGTAGGATGTGGGAGTGGGGGTGGGGGTGGCTTATCGGATGGGGTGGCCCAAAAACCACCCATCTCGCTCTATCGATTCAGCGAAGTGAACTGCATTTGCGGCACTTGCACTTGAATGCATTTTAAAGGCCCCCCGAAGCATAGGGAGCATATTTTTTCACCAAATTTCAACAATTTCAACAATGCCCCGTCCATTTGCCGTTATGAACTGCATACATATGGCCAAACATACCTATGTACATATGTACATATCGCAAACACACACAAATGTGCGAATTGCAACGACATGCCTCCGTGTGTGCATTATTAACCAAATATTTTATATTCATCTCTCTGCTGTGCACTCTGCTTCTTTCTTTTTTACCGCATTTTCATGCCGTTTGCTTGTCTATGTATTTGTGTGTGTGCGGCTGTGAGAATGTGTGTGGGCGTTGCACAGTGGATTCCCTTTTAATTAACTCAATTTCATGGCATTTTCTCCTCTACGCTTCTTTTTTTTTCTGCACATATTTCATATCCTTTCCGACGATGTGACGTGATGTGGTAATAAGTTGCATTCTTTTTGTGAATTTGCAATAATTGCCCGGCAAATGTAAATAAAACAACGCATTATCAATAAAAATTAACTCGCGTTGAGGTTTTTATCAATTGAGAGTGGAGTCGCATATTTCGGTGAAGTATAATTGAATATTCACAGAAATGTACAGATATTAACTTTATTCATAGTTTATTCCCAGAATTTTCATTATAATGAGGTGAGGGCTATACGAGTAAAGTAGAAAACCTATCGCTAGCTACATGACATGTTTACAAGATTGCTCATACGACCTGTAGTCCAGTTCTGATTTCAAACAAACATGCATAATACATATATATGTATAAATTGAAAACAAAGACCGGAATACAAAGAAAATCTCTTTCAACTATGTATTCGTATCGACTTTCGGATGGATTTCTGTTTGAAGAGATTTCATTAGCATCCTGATTATTTCATTAACAACATAGCTATATTTTAAAAACGAAGACGAGCTACTAAAAATATCTTTTTTTATTAATAAGTATGTAACATTAATTATAGGAATTCATTCTTATGATAACTTCCCTTTAAGAACTGAAAAATCAATTATTATCATTTCAATATGAATAAATTCTACGCAACTATAAAACTTAATTAGGTATTATTTTAAACTTCAAAGAAATCTCACTAAGTTAGTGAAGACTCCACCGCACTTAACTAACAGGACTTTCTCCTGGCAAATTAAATTTGATTGCGCGGGATATTCCTAATACAGTTTGTTCATCCACCGACTGCCTCCTTTATTTCCAACGTTTTAGAGTCCTGTGGGGATAGGGCGGGAGTTCTAACCCGGATCCGGAACCGGAGCATCCTTTGCCAGGTCAAACTAATAAACTTTGCTTGCTTTTTTCCTGGCTTTCCTTGGGCCGCAGAAACCTCATCTTGTCTGCGGCCTTTGTCTTCGACTCCGGGGGCCCCTTTTATAGATATAATTGCTGTTTAAAGGCGCTGTGGGGTGGTGGATGGACCGACAAGCAAGTGCAAATGCAGCTACCAACTTCAAGTCGAGCATTTTTGTGAATTATTTTCCCATTATGAGCAGATTAAGTTTATTGTGCGGCCATTGGCAGAGCAAAGAGTCCTGGCAACGCGGGGGATTTTCCATTTTCCTTGTGAGTTGGGGGTGTGCAGAATCAACCCGACATCTTGGCAGGAGCTCTGGAAAATTCACTTCAACACACACAAACAGCTTTGTTTTGAGGTCCTTGGAGCTGAGACTAAATTGAAAAGGACAAAAAGGGAAGGGGGAGGGGTAAGGAAAAACGGTCGGTAAACGGAGGAAAAGTATTTTAACGCGGTCTGAATTTCAAAAGTTTGCCAAGGTAGAACCGCTTCAGGCAGTCGGGAGCTGGGGTATCACTTGAAATTCCCAACGATTCCCTTTGAAGCATTTCGTTTGTATGCAAAATGTTGTTTCATAATTTTCTTCTGTTTTCTTAAACGTGTAAATTAGAAAATACCTCAGAAAGGAAGCCGTTTGGGGGGGGGGAGCAACAAGATATTTTACACACATTAATTAGAATATCAATGGAGCATTGGGCGCTGTCTTTGTCTCCGATACACAGGAAATGTCACCTTGTCGGGACTTTTGGGTAACTCTCGGGACGCAGGACTCACAGGCAGATGACGTGGCCGGGCACAGACAAATAAATCACAGAATAAACGCCACACAAACTGACATGACCGGACCAACCTACCAGCCAGTCAAATGGAAAGGAAACCAACCAGATGCACATGCAACCGCAGGCAGCCCGAAATGAACCCAAAACCGGGGAATCGGGGAACGGGATCAGGGGGAATCGAGGAACCCGGATTGCGGGCAGGAAAATGATGTATGGATTTTTTAACGCCGCTGATTGTCTGCGCAATCGCCGGAGCCACATGGAGCCACAATCGCATCGCATCACATTGAACAGTAGCCCCGGTTTTCAGGCGGAGGATGCCGATTCCGACTCCGATTCAGATTTCGATGCCCATGCCGGGTTTCGAGCCCCGTAATCAGCGCCGCATGTGGGGAGCATTGGACTTACCCGAAAGCGGACACAACATGTGCTCGAAATGTGTTGATTCCACGTTAATTATAAAAATTGATTTCTGCTCTGATGCCAGCCAACCAATATCTGCACAGCATCGGTATCATTCGATTTTGTGAATGTATTCCAGCAAAATAATTATTTTCATCATATAGGTAAAGCTAAATAAATTGTTTGTAACCCCCATATTGTATAACCATTGAAATCTGTTCAGATAATGTAATATTACCGTTTTAAAGATCTTTAGAGTCAAAATTATTATATTTTGATATTGTACTATAGTAAGATAATTAAATCCATCTTAGAGGTTGAGCGAATTTAATAGTTATTAGATCTAATACGCAATAACCTTTGAAATCCCGAAACAAACAAGTAATATAACATTAGATAATCTTTTGGAAGTTATGTCGTATTTCAAATGGTTAAGTAATTGATAATTTATTAGGTTTCATTTGTTCATTGATAAACTTAAGTGCGACATAAACTAGAAATCCAATATAAATGTAAGCAAAACATAGAAGCCAAACGTGACGTTTAGTTTAAATTTAATAAAAAGATTCTAAGGCACAATTGTGTTAAACTTGAAATCGAACTAATTATTTGCGCTTCCCCTTCAGATATCTCTTTCTCCATTACTAAAAGCAAACTCTAACTTCCAATGGTAATCGTAGCTTGTAACAAAGAAGTAATTTTTGAAAACCATATTCAATATAATTTCTTTACCTTCTTATCTCTTGTTTTCTTTTAGTCCCCACTCCAAGCGGCAATTAGCAGCCAATACGGTTTGATCAAATTTACGAGCTGCACTCAGTATGCCGCCGTACGTGACGTAAAGGCTCTTCCATCCATCCATCCATCCACTCAACCATCCATTCTCCAGCGGAGGTGGCAGATATCTTCTCCCCAAAGACGCTGGGAAAATATATTTATTTATATTTTGCGGCCAGTCACGCACATTCGCTGGCCATAAAGTGTCGCCGAGTCAAGTCAAAGTTCCCCTATCGGTTGCAACTGGGCCTCCTAAAATATCCACGTGCCACACTTCGCCCCTGTGGCCGCTCTTTTATTATTGTTTTCCCATCTTATTTATTATCCAACTTTGGTTCCGCGCCTTTTGTTAACATAATTTAACCGAATACCAATTTGGAAAATTTGTTGGCCTCCGATTCTTGTTTATCTGGGGTAAAATTAATTTCTTGTTGACACTTGGTCCAATAACCTATGGGGAAATTGGGATATTTGTTTGCTAGAGATGCAACTGTTGAAGTCAGAATGAAGAGATATGTCGGAGCTGTCTAAATGGAGCAGTTCTCTTAAATCGTATTGTCAGGAATTTTGATTGAATTTCTATCAAGTAAAATGGGGCTTATCCACTTCTCCTAATAATTATCGTAAACTACATGGTATCTTAGAAATTCAATTTGGTTTTATTCGTTCTAAGCAGAAAGCACTTAAAATGGGTTTCGAATATGTTTCGTAAGACAACAGAGTTTCCAATTTGACTTGAAGTTAAACTAAATAAAAACAAGAGAGAACGCTATAGTCGGGTGCCCCGACTATCAGATACCCGTTACTCAGGTAAAGGGATACATTTCGATAGGTATTGATAAACACAATAAAACTGCATTTTTACTTTTCCGAAATATTTAAATTTTTAAAATCGTATATAAGCGATTGTGGGCGTTAAAGGGGGCGTGGCACCACGCCCAAAATTCCAATCTTCTAGCTTTTATAGTTTCCGAGATCTCAGCGTTCATACGGACAGACAGACAGACAGACAGACAGACGGACAGACGGACATGGCTAGATCGACTCGGCTAGTGATCCTGATCAAGAATATATATACTTTATAGGGTCGGAAACGCTTCCTTCTAGCTGTTACATACTTTTGCACGAATATAATATACCCTTTTACTCTACGAGTAACGGGTATAATCAAACTAATAAAAAGAGAGTTTATGAAAATTCAGGAAAATAAAAAGTAGGTCTTAATGTCAGTGTCTTAAGTACCTTGATAGATCTCATAATCAAAATTGAAAGAAAATAATGCGTTTGATATCTGGTAGAATATACTATTTTATTTATGCTCTAAACTAAGTCTACAAGTTCACTACAATTACGCTTCATTTTTATATATACTCCGGGGTGCAATTTAAGGTTTCAGGTAAACCCTTTTCTATTTGCAATCCACTAGATATACGACTATCCAGTGCAACTTATCCATCAGATCATGCACCGCCAAGCTGAACTCATTAACACACAATGCTGCCACAAACAACAACAAATGCTACCGCTCGAAGTGGAAAGTTAAGAAAAGAAGGAAGGAAGGAAGTAGAGCCGCCAAAAACGGAACCATCTGTCCCGATTGCGAAACTTGAGTGACAACAGCAGCAGCAGCAGAAACAATGTCCAGAACAAAAAAAGAGGGCCAACAAAAAAGGTGAATTGAATGAGTCGCGGAGGGAAGTTATTAAAAAGCGATAAACCCAGAGCAAAACGCATTTGGCGAATTGTTGAACACCTTGTGGAAAGGTACGCCCCCCCGCCCCGCCCTCCTACTCTTCCGGGGAATTATGGAATTCTTATGCTAAAATAATGGACCCACAACCGGCTCCTGAGCTCGAACCACCACGTTAGTGCTTCCATCGATCAGTAATAAATTTGTTGCGTACACCGGGGGTACAGAAAAAAAAATACGAAAAAAAAAGAATATGGAGCGGGAGCATGTCGCGCGTTTGTTTTATTTCTTTAATTCATGAGCAGGATCGGTTTTGGACCAACTGTTCATGGTCCGCCGAGTGAAGGTGAGGTGCGTTGGCCAACTGTGCGTTAAGTCATTGAAAGTCAATAATATGTGCTCCCCACTCTTCCTACTTTCATTGTATAATAGTGCAAAAAGAGCACAAAGAATACCCCCAATCCCGTCCATCCGGTTAAAAAAAAGTGGAGTGAAGGGGTAGCAGTCACCGTTTCCAGTCACAGTCACGACTGCAGTTCCAATCGGAGAAGTCACAGGAGCTTGGCGTCTTATTTATGACTTGTGCCACCACTTGGCTACTATCTGAGATTTGTGTTTTCATTAATTATGCAAGATTCCTTCGGGGATTTCGTTTCGTTTCGTTTTTGTTTTGATTCGGGTCGGTTTGGGTCGGTTTGCCTTCTTTTCGGGATGATAAATAGCCCGAGATTAATAAGGCGCCTGGCTAAATGGCGTGGAAAGCATTCAAAGTCGACGATTATGAAATTTGGCCTCTTATCTGTGTCTCTGGGGTTAATCGGAATGAAATCATTAGCAGAGGGAATATGAAAACTAATTAAAAACTTATTTTAACTCATGTAGATACTCGCTTCTTACCTTTATCTCCCCACTTTAAACCGTAGAAATACACACACGTTTTGTTGATTGTATTCAAATTGTTTTTCTTTTATTTTATTTATCTTTTTTTGTTGGATTTTCTGCTTTGCTTTTTTTTCAATTTGATTTTCGTTATCCTAGTTTGTTGAAATTTGCAAAAATTGAAGTTTAAACAAAATAAATTCTAACTTTGTTGTTTGCTTTAAGTGTATGTCAAAGTTTGCGTTAACTATACAAGAAATGTCGATTATTAAACGTTACCAACGCTGATTACGAATACCAATATATTTGTATGTGTATATTTATATATATAGTGTATATATTCATTATTGTATGTGTCTAAATTGCTGATATGGGATGCTAAACTTACAAAATCAAATTACGCTGAAAAAAATGGTCTCGAATGCGCGATAATTTTTTTGTTTACAAGGTGTTTTAAGCTTATGAATTATATTTAAACGTTAAACATTATTGTAAAATTAAATTAAATTTCAAAATCCTTTGCGTTTGTTATTGTTTTGCTCACACAGAAACACAGACTGCAGTTTTGCTTAAGAAGCGGTTTCAAAAAGCCCGACCGAAAGTCGAGCTGTGTATACGAGGCTGCCGAGAGAAACGATTTCTAACATCATCCCAGGCAGAGTTTATACATTTGCTGAAGGTTCTTTTTGGCCATCCATCGCCCAATGATGCTTAGAACCAGTAAAGATCCTTCGACGATTCCTGAACTTGCGCCACTTGCGCTTCCAGTCCTGAAAGAGAAGTAATAGAATATTTTAGAAAACTAATGGTTATATAATATTTCGGTTTTATTAAACTTGAAACTTCACTCTAAAATGTTAAAAAGTAAGCCAATTCGATTACTATTTCACTTTGAAAAATTAATTGTCATGGTCGTTATGTCGTTATGAACTAAAATCTTTTTGAAATAAAAGTTATTTTAGTGGATAAGGTATTTTATTTAAATTCAAACATTTGCTTTGAGGTCATAACAAGAAAAGCTGGATAGCTAACTACTTTTGTATCACTTTAAAATATTAAAATATACTTCTCTAAATAATTAAAATCCCACAAATAAGTCTTACATCAAGTTAATTCTTTGTATGTTGATAAAAGTTCCGAATATATATGTTCACTTGGAAACCTTTTTGATAATATCAAGTTAAGAACTTTACTATTTAATACAACTGAAACTAATATTCTCCATGATTAAATAAAAGTACGGAATATACTAGTATGCATAATTTTCGAAACAATATGGAAAACCGACCTTCCTAATAAAATAAAACTACCAAATTGTACTACCAATAGTAGAACTTATCTAAAGTCATTTATTTAGAGCTCCTATGTAAATCTAATCCTGCGGATTGACTCACCTGCCATTGTGGGATAGCTGGAGTACTCCAGGGCGTGGGCCGTCTGCTGGTCGTGGTGCAGCCTGTAAGACACTTTGGGTCAGGACCCAGTTTGTGGAGTGGTTCGACGGGTGACTCACCTGGATCCGTGGCTGGCGTACTGCTGGGGCAGCCTCAGCAGACTGCCGTACTGGGCCATGTTGTGGTGGTAGGCGTGGGCGTGGGCGGCGTGCGCATGCGCTGCGTGGGCATAGGAACCATAGTGAGCCGCTGCCGCATGTGGCACCCACGGATCGGTGGCGTAGCCGGTGTCCGTCGCTGTGCCATACAAGTCGCTAACCTGCAGATAGATATCCGATCGGATTACAACTTATTTACCACTGGGGGAATGGAGCAGCAGGATCGGTGGCTTCTTCAACTCGTAATTGCCTCACGTATTGCCGGTAATCGGCTTTTGGCTTCTGGCTTCTTGCTTTTAGCCACTGGCATTGTTATTGGTTATTGGACTATGCTCACCTGGTGGTGTGTGGGCGCGGGTATGGGGTGCACGTAATTGCTGTTCCAGAACGACGGTGGGAAATTGCGATTCGACATCGGGCTGCTGCTCTCTGCAAGCACAAAATGGGGAAATCGTTTCAGGCATAACATATGTATACACAAAATGATAATGGTGCACGAATTATTGTTTAATCGTGCTAAATGTACCGAGGCAATAGAGTGGGATTAAGGTGGGGTATTCAGACATTTTTATTGTAAATATTTTCTTTCGCTAACCATTTTTTAAGCCGCAAAAAGATATAAAACCATAGTTAAGTAACTCTTTACTATTTTACCAATAGGATCCAAGTAAGTATCATAGGATTAAAAAGAGTGCAGTTTTGGTTTCATAAATAATTTAAGGTATGTTTCTTAAATAAGTTCTTGGTTTAATTGTTTATTAAATAGAACACAAAATATTTACAAATTATTTGTCTTACTGACACATTTAAGAAAGAAATTTTAATTTCAAACGTATATAAAAAGCGTATTAAAACCAAATAATATCTCAAATACATTTTAAAGGAAATAAGTGAAGGTTTTAATAAGAATTTTTAGCTTTTGTACTTTGAAACTTGAAAATGCAATCTAGTAAGAAAATATAATCAATAATATAATAATATATATAATATATTAATCAAATATAATAGAGAAAGATTTTTGGTGAGTTACAAGGAATAACGAAAGAAACTATATCATAGACTTTTGATTAAGTGAAGTAGTTAATGGGTAGGTATTTAATACTGAAAATTCACGAGTGTCCCCAATAAAAAAATATTCTCAAGAAGCGATCGCCTGAAGGAGGTGTTATGCTTTTGCCTCTAGGGGCAATTTCCATTCACTTGCGGCAATGATTAACTGGCAAACCGGCGTGCGAGTCTTGGGGGGATTGTGGGGCTCGGATTCGGATTCTGGATTGGTTAGGGACTCTCCTCGGAGTTCCAGTCGCGGTCTCAGTGTGAATCTCCATCTCCGCCTCGGTGGCGGCGCCATGGCCTGTTGCAAATAACTGAGCGGAATGTTTTCGGTTGTCGTTCGTGCTCGTTGTCGCGCTGTTGTTCAGGATCATCACTTGTATTAAATGGTTGTAAATCTACGCGTTTATGAAATCGCGCGACGCCGCCAACCAGCGGAAGGAGCAAACAGCGGCAAGACATCTCCATTATGTGTAATGGAGCTCCCTCAGGAGACCGGGGGCCCAAAAATAGCAACTGCAATTGAGCGGCAGGAGATACCAAAAACTTGCATAGGCTTGCATTTGCGTTGACAACATTCCAAACTCGATTCGAGGGAAAAATATACAACAACTGGAGGAGTTTGAGGATGAGAATGATGCTGGAGGATGTGCCAGTGGATGTGCCATTGGATGTGGATGTGGATATGGATGTGGATGTGCTTGTGGGTATGTGTAATGTTTGTGCTTGGCTGCCGTCGCGATTCGACAACTTTGGCCGGCACGTTGGCGAGTGTGCCATGCATTCTGATGATGATGATGATGCGGCTGGGATACCGAATATACTGGATACTGGATACTGGATGCCATGCCGCGTGCCTTTTTTCGTCCCGGCCAGAAGTCGTCATCATCCCATTGCCATTCACTCACTCGCTCAGCTGAGGCCGTGGAATTCCCATTAATGTGCAAACAAGCAGACTGCCAAAGATATTTACTCCGCAGCTCCTTCGGTTAGCATTTCACTTTCAAACAGGGGCTTCAAAAGCGAAAGCCGCAGTACCTGTCTCACCTTTCACCTTTTGGCCTAATGAAGAGAGCGTGGCGATTTATGACTCGATAAGGTTCGATCGCCAACGTTGACACATAGAGTACTACACAGAAAAAAAGGCCATAGTTCTAGTTGAACATTCTTAGTTGCAGTAAAAATATTAAAGAGGAAAATCACTCCAGGAAATAAAAAATAAATCGTATATTATACATGAATATTGTTTATAAAAAACATATAAAGCAAAAGGCAATCATAATAATACCATTTAATTAGTTGAATAAAAAACTTAGGTAAAAGTTTTTTTGATTGTATGTATATAAAGCCCAGCGGAAATATAAATAAATAGCTTAAAATATGGATATATCAATACCAATAGACACATAGACATATTGAATGTTTTGCTTACTATTTGTGGGCTTATATTTTTAAACATTCTAACTATATACATGTTTGTTTTACGAAACCTAATATTACATTAAATTATTATTGGCATTTTAGTGACAGGTAGTATTTTCCTGTGTGTCCCTGCACTTGTGCTCGTATCTTCAAACGCATCTTTAAATGTATCTGTATCTCTATCTGTTTCGGTTTCAGTTTCGGTTTGTTTTTCGGTTTCTCCTGCCTGCAGCGGGTGCCAAGGAATTTTAAATCGAATTCTTTGGGCATCTAATTAAATGCTCCTCGGAACGGAAAGGCTGCCTGATGAATCGGGTATTTTTTGATCGAGAAACGTAACGAAAACGGATCGGGGAAAAACAGAGAAAAGTGCAAGCGTGCCGTTGCTATCTCATCATCTTCTGCGATGCCCTCTTTCGGTTCGTTTTGTTTTCTGTGCGGAGCAGTTAATTGAAATGCATTTTAAAATCGTAATGAGGAATCTATGCGGCATTCGGCATTGCCACCGTCCGACAACAGCAATAACAACAACAACAACAAAAACTACAACTGGCTACCCAAAAACAACAACATCAGCATCGACCGCATCGCATTCCGGCGACATTTCATAGCACATTCCAACCAGCGATATATATACATCTGTACATATAGCATATATAGACACCGCACATTGCATTACGAAAAAAATCTATATAAATACTGAATAGTTTTAAGCGCACAAATGTAAATGTTTAACTGTGTGCGGCTGCTCTCAAATAGACAAATGACCAAAATGAACTTTAAATACCATTAAGCAGACATCGAAAAGGGGGAAAAACAAGAGGCGTAAAAGTAAACAAATTTAAACAAAATTCATTTCGTTGTTTACTTTTTGGTAAAATTGTATTTAAAGGGACAGTTCTATAATCGGCAATGTGTGCCACTATGCAGCAGCAAAATGTTAAGAGCAACCTACTGAGATGGGAATTTGCAAAACTGAGCCACCCTACTGTATTTGGTGACAGCGAAAATATTTAGATTGTCATTTGAGAATCAACTATTAAATTGATAACTAATTGGAATGTCCATTTTTTAGTTGTGAATAGACAACCATATCTTAAATTCCAAAAGTTAAAATAAATAGTTGAATTTAATTAGGTAACAGTAAAAGCTATTTATTAATTAACTTTTGTGTTTCCTATTTTTAATTCCAAATTCACAGAAATAGATTAAAAACAGAATCTTAAAAAATAAATGTTTTAAAGCCTATTTATATGTAATTGTTTAAATTAATTTAATATGAAAATAAAGTCTTCAATAAGTACATTAAGTATGTAACTAAAATGACAAAAATTAAGCTAACATTTGAGTCAAAATTCTTTTTGATTCAAGTGGATTTTCGGTTGTTTGTCGGTCTATTAATTGCTCGCCAGGAAACTGATTTTGATTTAAATTTCGGAAAGCCAATCACCGTAAATTCGTAGTTAAGCAGCCTGCGGAAAATTTCCAATTATCGCATAACGAATGGGGAATTGAATGGAAACTGAATTTTCGCACAATCAAAGTGGTGGCATTTCCTCAAAGCATACGGTAAAACGGGGCAATTGGGGGAAAATCGAGGAAATGGCAGCCACAGAAACTCAATAAAATCCCAGGTTTAACTGCAATTGGCGGTGTGGCAAAGGAATACACCACAAAGTGCTCCAGTCTATGGGGCGGGAAATGGAAAATAATCTGGTGGGCGGGACACGTACGGAACATTAGCATTACGGGGCACCTGCTCAGCATTCAAATGCGAGGATAATTGATTGATTGAGCAATGGTCGCAAATTAACAAACGAGAAAAGATGATCATAATGAAAAACTTCTCTTGACAAGGGTAAATTCGTTCTGCTTGAACAGAATTGCATCAAGGCAATTAAAAATAAAAACAAAAATCAAGTGAAGCGCAAAAATTATACACATGTTGGTGTATCTTTATATACATACGAGTATGTTCGAGTATATATTGTATGCAGCAGATAGACGGACAGGCAAAACAGACAGGCATGAACAAACGAAACGTTTATCTTCATTAAAGGAGGTAATTAATTTTGAAATCGAAAGAACAAGCGAGTGGCAAGTGGCAACTTGATTTATTTGTTTTATTGTGCGCCCGTTTTTGGTGTGTGCTTGTGAGTTTTCGCATTCACAGACATTTCACAAACTTGGGAAGGGGATAAAGTGGCATCTTAAAGTGATTCTATGCTTTTACCGAACGGCTGACAATAAGCAGAACGAAAATTTAAATATTTCGAATAGTTTTCAATAGAAAAGATGGATTAAAAGCTTTCATTTTTATGAGAAATATAATTTACAGCACATTTTTATAGGATTTTAAATTTCAAAATATTTAAATGGTATCACTTTAAATGGTAAACACTTTATTTATATTATGAAATTAGTTATATACATATATTGCAGTTTATTGAAGTGACATTTATTCTATAAAATCAATTTTGATATAAAAAAAACCAGAACAAATTAGAAACAAACATAAATCTCGAAAGAAAAAGCTTTCATTTTCGGGTAACTTTAATTTAATCAAGAGTACATACATACATTTGTGTATCGATTACTTCTAAAAACTTTTCCATCTTGGAGGGTAAGCTGCATATTTTCTTAACCATAATTTTTGCACTCTCAAAGTTTTCACACATTAACCGACATACTCTCTATCAATACAAGGTCATCAATCAAGTATTGAGCAGAACAAAAAGTGGTTTAGACATCAAGCCACTTGACACACTGAAAATTCTGAATTTTCTCCATTCTATCCGGCCATCTCATTCTTTCCCACACACTCACACATTCCGAAAGGCATAATTTGCCTGTTGTAAATTTCCCGAGAACATTTTAATAACTTTGCTGGAACTGCTGGCGTATTTTTCACCTAATTATGCCCCCATTTGGGGGACAAGTGAGGCAGCGCCGCAAATCGAGGCAAACACGCAAACTGACAGCCGGGACAACTACATGACACGAGCGGTTCTTTGATCACAACTCGCCGGAGCCACAAATGAGTCGAAAAGAGGGCGGGGAGCCGGGAAAACAAGCTGATTATCCTTCTACACTGACACAAACACAAATTTGGGATAAATGTTTACAAGTTTATACACGAGGAGAAACAAATGCTTTAAATCCAGCAGAATTCTGAATCCCATTAAACACAAAGAAAAGTTCGAAACCCATTTAAGATGGATTATTGGATTTTTGTATGTTGTGAGCGAAATGCCATTGGTTTGTGGTAGTTAAAACAATATTAACAGATAATAAAATAAATAAATTTAAACCTCACACACTTAGTAAGACAGATTAGTATATCAATTTCCGATGGGCACCCAAGCAGGGACTGAAGATATTTGTGGTTTTTTGCCTATCGAAATAATCGATAACCAATTCTAATTTTCTGATTTATCACTTGTTTTCACTTGATTAACCAGGACACTTTTAGGTGGAAATCATTATTCTCTATTTCCATCTTTCAGCTGTAGTTCTAATATTTTTTTGGTTTAATGCACTTACCTTTCGCATCCTTATTGTTATAGTTGAGGGCGCGGGAGAAGTGTTCGTCCACCTGGCTGGCCGTGTCGCCCGAATAGTTGGTGAACACAACGCAGGAGGCCGATAGATACTGAGCTTGCCCCTGGCCACTGCTGCCCAGCCCTCCGCCTCCTCCTCCGCCGCCTCCTCCACCTCCACTGCCCATCGGCGCCTCCAGGGTGGGAAGATTCTTGGGTATTGCCCCGGTTCCGCCTCCATCGCCGCCCCCCGAACCCGTTCCGCCTGCTGATGATGAACCGCCGGTCGCTCCACCGCCCACATTCAGCGGATGACTGTGCGAGTGGGCGTGGCGGGGGGAATCCGGACCGGAGGAGCAGGATGATTCATTATGATGCTGATGCTGTTGGGAGCCCACCAGTCGCGCTGGAAAATCAAAGAGAGTGGAGGAAAAACTATTAAATAATCGCAAAATAATAGCGAGAATCCAACGGGGGAAAATATGATATAATTTATTGAATGCTAACTGGTTTGGAATGCGAGTGCTTCGTCAGCAATTTCAAGAATTTTCAAATTAATTAGCTACGAATGTGCGATGGCTATCTGGCTCTCCCTCACTTTGGCTCTTTCACTCGGATGAATTTCATTGTGTTGCCAAAAAACAAATGTTATGCAAACATTGACATTGCCAATATCAATGAACACGCACATGAAAAGCAATAAAATCCAAAGTAAAGAAGCATTAAACTAATCACATGCCAACGAAGCGCTCTGTTAATGAATTATTAATTATTTCCAAAGAGTTTTTACTTTCAATTTAGAAATTCCTCTTAAATTTTTAACGTGACCTTTGGAGCTGACATTTTTTTAAGTACTAATTAAGTTACTAACTTGTTAAATACAATAATTTATAAAATAGACCTTATGACCCCGAACTTAAATGAATCATTACATCAATTTAATTTCAATTAACTCGAAATGCCTTGGATTTTCTCTTTTTAATAATTATGCCAGAAAAACCATTTGATCATGGTGATTACATATACTTTTACTTAAGAATCTTTAGATTTCTTTTGATATAATAACATGGAAATATTACATTACTTAAGAATGATAACGCTAAAGATTAATTTAGTCTTAAAATTACTTTTTGAAAGCTGTTGACAAGATTTCTTTTAAATATACTTTTACAAAATATGTAACCTTTGAAAGTGCACTTGGTGTGCTAAATGTAAAGATCAAATTCAAGAACCAATTCTCTGGAAGTATTTTAGGAAACTATATCACTATGTTTCCTCTAATAAAATAAAGGCTAGTTTTAAAATATGAGATTGAATTGCTTGATATTTTGAATAAGTTACTCTATTCTGTGATTCGATTCTCCAGAAGGATTTTAGGAAACACGCACATGAAACACAATGTTGACCATTATTCTAATTAGTTAAATGCTACTTTTTAAGATTTGGGATAGAGTTGTATGAACATTGAAGTTTCCACACTATTTTGTGATATCGATCCTTTGTGATCCATGCGACTCACCTTCAGCTTCGCTGCGCGGCACGATGAGATCCTCTTCTTTGGTTTGGTGCGTATGCGGGTGCGTGTGTGTCTGTGTCTGCGAATGCGGGTGCGTGTGTGCGTGGGCGAGGGAGTGGGCATGGGAGTGGGCGTGGCCGTGGGCGTGCGTCCTGTGCGTACTGTGCAGCGAGTGTCCAGCAGCGCCGCTCAGCACCGGACTCATGCCCAGGCCGACGCTGCCCACACTACTGCTGCCGGGCACCACATTGCTGCCGAGCAGTCCGCTGCCCCCGATCCCTGCCCCGCTGACCAGCTGGAGTCCGGAGGAGCTGGCCTGGTTCGCCGCACTGTTGTGGGCCGCTGCCGCCACCGCCGCCGCAGCGGCATTAGCGCTCACCGACGGCGGTAGGATCGGGCTGCAGGGCGAGTGGGAGCTGCCGGAGGCGCTCGACGAGGCGGCCAAGTTGACGCCCGAGGACGAGTATAAATCCTGGTTGAACTGCAAATATCCAAAAACATCGGTTTATTTTTATATTCAATAATATATTCCATTCTTGTATTAAAGACATTCACAACTTTAAAGTCTTCATTTTTTATTTACTAGTAAAATATTCGTCATTTGATAAGCGTTTAAAATCAGTCATTTACAGAAAGATTGCCATCACTCACAATAAAATGTTTTATAAAATACAAGTAAATTCCTTGTAGCTTAAGTTTTTTATGAAAACATGAATAATAGAATATGTAAAAAGTTACATTATTCGTTTAATAAAACGTTTAAAGATTTCAAGTTAGCTAATCATAAAATATGGACTAACCAGATTTCGCTGAGTGAGTATAAATATTTATTGTAATTTGAAAAGTTGACTCTAAATTATTCTTGCAAGTTTACTTGATATCTGCAATTCGTTATCAAAGAGTGATTTTTTAAGTTCGCGACATTAGCGAAGAAAAAGATGGTTTAATTTTAGCTTAATAGAAGTAATATGATTAGTATTTAATAGGGGATTTTCTTTTGTTTTATTAAACATATAATTTGCAATTGTAATCTTTTTTGTTAAATGTATTTATTATATTTTATTGTACGAAGAACTAAAGGTTTTCAAAAATTACTCAATATGCAAAGCTGGATAAAATGTGTCATTATATTTAACATTTCAGTAAGCAAAGTTTTGATTATCTAAATTATCGAAGTAGATATTATTAAAATTAAAACGCTTAGTAAATCCCATTACAATTAAAACTTAGCTTCATACTTTGACATTATGAAAAGATTTCTTAGCTTAGGACGTATTTCTGACCACCCTCCCTTAAACTATTTTTCTGGATTTAAAAGTGGATCTCCCTGGCAGATTCTCAAAAGGTCGGCGAGTGGCAAGTAATGAGTTATGAGACGCGTTGCAGCAAATTGAAAATGACACAATAAGAAAATTTATGTTGATGGAAAACGCGAGTGAGGCCATTAAATTTACGAGCGTTTGGCGCATATTATCACGGACTCGGGCCAAGGTTGCACCGCTCCAAATGGGGCATAATGGGAGATGGGAAAGGGGGCGTTGGCAGTGGGAGGAGGTGAGCTGAAATAGGAGAGCGGCCAGAAGGCGATAATCACGCCGCAATCTCCTGCTTTGCGGAGTGTCAAACATAATGCGGCGCTGGCAACGATTTACGAGCAACACCTTCGACCGCCCCCCTTTCCTGACTTCCCCTCCTAATGAGCCCATTAGTGGCTCCCTACCCGATAGATAACCCCATGAAAATCGCTGCCCAGCCCGCCACGCCACATTTGGCCCCGAAAATCTTTCTAAATTTAAGTATTAACTTCCAGCCAAGCGAGGCGAACCGATGCTTCCTCCATTTCGTAGGCGCATGCCAATTATGATCGTGTCTAAGGGTTAATAATGGGTTAACCGGGCACGAACCATTTGAAAGAGTGCATCTTGGGCATTGACAGCGGCCCTGATTTACGACGTTCATTGAGTATCTCGCAGATACAACAGCTGCCCGTTTAGCAGGCCACTTAATTAGATGAAAGCGCTGAGTCAGCAGAAAGCGACTTGCTAATAGATACAGATACAAATTGATTGAGATACAGCTGCGGCGAAAGGTGCAGCATCACAGGCACTTGCCGCAAATATGTGGCAGATCATGTATCTGCATCTGTCACCTGGCTTAACCACATAATCAATACGTTCCGCCTTATCGGCCAACACTATCAGCGGCGACAGCCCAAATTGGAGGCGGTATGGTCGTTCGGCCGATCCCAAGCCGCGGATCCCAAATCGCGGATGGCGGATGGCGGATCGTGGCCAAGTGCAGTAGCGTAGGAGAAACAATGCGCAGATACAGATACAAAATGCACAGTCGCAACCGCATTGTATCGGTACACCGAAAAAACAGATATCATATATTCAGTCAAAATTTCAGATATCAAACCACCATCTGACACCTAAAATAATTTCTTTGCACTCTTGGAACTTTAAGTTTAGAAATTGATGTTACCCTAACTTATACTTCCTATTGCCAAAACGACTATTATATTTCCATTGAAGGTAACATTGAGTTATAGAAGTTGTAACTAAGGAAGCTATACTGTGTGACGACTATTTAGATCTTTATTAAATATCAATTTCAACTCAAAAATTACAATTTGTTAACTAGATTAAACAAAAAGCAGAGGATTAAACATGGAATAGAATACTAGTTTGAACTTCTTGAACTTATGGGTTATTTGACATAAAGTTCTTTTGAACTGATCCTGAGCAAGGAGGATATAATAATGTTTCTAACACGTCATAAAAATACTACAGTTTCTTACAGAAGGGCACTAGATCGAACGTCGAATAAAATATTTAGCTATACCAATTTCCAAACCCATAGAAACCCAATGTGTAACCAAATGAAATCAGATCAACCTTCGCTTGGCGTAATTTTCTCCGTGTATTTGTATCCGTATCTGCTGCAGTGTTATTAGCTGCAGGCGATATGTCGGTTATGCCGAGCAGTCAGACCGCCGATCACACGGCATAAATCACCGGGATCGGCAGACGAACCAGCGACAAAATTTCGGAGGCCCCAGCGTTCTTTTTTTTACCAGCTCCCTGGTTTATCTGCGATCGGTTGACAAAAGGCCCCAAGAATCCGATCGGTATGGTTATGTTATGGGCGTTGGATGTGAGGAGAGCGAGATCGGCAAGAACTAATGGCGATACACACAATAAATTAACCGAACGGTCCAAGGTTTTTGTTTGTTTGTTTATTTTTTATTTTGTTGTTTTTTTTTTTTTGTTTGGCTAAAGTGTTGAAAGGGCGGACGAAAATTGTGCGTTTTTGGGGCCGAAATAAACCGGTCATCCAGCTGAGGCTAAAGCTGCTGACTCAATCTGCGATTGGCTTTGCGGAGGAGCAGCCGAAACCCAATACAGGAGGGTTTATCGCGGTCCCTCTTTATGGGCATGCAAAAGCATAGAATCAGAATCGTGTCGTATCGGTTACTTACATAAAAGGCCAATTTCGATTTGGTGCCGCGGCCTTGTATAATTGGAACTTGCGACACAAGAATTTCTTTGTGCCCCAGCGACAACGGCAACTGCCTCGGGTTCTTAGCCACAGATTCAGCCTCAGTCGTCGCCTTTTGGCCATGGCCAGTCGACGGTCAGAGTTTCGGGCCTGGACACTGGTCCAATAGCCCTTGCGATCGTGAGAACTTTTCTGTACTTGTCACAGAAATCACAGCGAAATCTTCGAAATCAATGTTAGCAAAAACGGGAGAGACGAAACAAAGCCAACATTGACTCGCGGAATTCCTTGAAATGTTTCCCTTTATTTTGCCAACTTTTTTTTTTTCACCCGCTTGTTTCTTTATTGTTTCGGGTTTCCCAAATCGATTTGCGTTCTGCGTGAATTCTTATGATTTGTTAGAAGCGTCTAATTATTCAGTCGGGACCGGGTCGAAACAAATTGATGGAGGCGACGGCGCAGTGGCAGTAACAGTGGCAGTAGCTTTTGGCCTTGGCAAGAAGTGAAGAGAGCCATCAATCAGCGAGGGATGTGGGTCCTAGCAAAAAAGCCAGCGTGACTCATCATCGGTGCTTTCCCTTTTTAAAGTTGTCCTCAAACTTGTTTGGAAGCAGTTCGCTTTTTTGGTTAAGTGCAAACAAATCAACAGGAATCTTTACAAAACGTTTTGTGGTTTTCCTTTAAGGCCATTCTGTGTTTATGCAAAACGGTCTCATTTCATGTAAACCTACCAGACGTTTAGCTTGAAAGTCAAGCTTAAAATTGTAACACATTTCAACATCGAATTAAGTAAAACCATTGTCGAAGAGCCTTTTAATAGTATACTCTTGAGGACCTCCTAATTGGTTATGGTTTATATTGAAGCATTTTTATATTTCTACAAACTAATAACTAATTTTTTAAATTTTTAATTATTAGGCATAACCATTTATTATCTCATAACTTATGTCGCGAGCTTACACATTCGATATAAAATTAAATTTAGGATAGAGAATTAAAAGTTTGGAAATTGTTGACACCTTTTTTACGTGCATTAAACACTAAAACCGCTTTGCCTAAAGCTAGAAAATCAGCTCGCCTAAAATGTCCAAAAAACAAGTTTTGACACCAAAACTTTTATTAGTCGGTTGTCACCTGAAGTTTTTAATGTGATAGTTTTTATATAAATAATAAATTCTTAACGTTTAAAAGAAAAAAAAACTGTGAAATCATTGTTATACCCTTGCAGAGGGTATTATAATTTTGGTCAAAAGTGTGCAACGCAGTGAAGGAGACATCTCCGACCCTATAAAGTATATATATTCTTGATCAGGATCACCTCCTGAGTTGATATAGCCATGTCCGTCTGTCCGTCTGTCCGTCTGTCCGTCTGTCTGTCCGTCTGTCTGTCCGTCTGTCTGTTTCTACGCGAACTAGTCTCTCAGTTTTAAAGATATCGAATTCAAACTTTGCACACACCCTTCTTTCCTTTGCACGCAGTATATAAGTCGGAACGGCCGGGATCGGCCGGCTATATCCTATAGCTGCCATATAACTGATTGATCGGAAATGCCATAACTTTATTGTTTGTCAAGTTAGGAAGTTGGGATTTTCTATGGGTTTTATATTTGGCCAATCAATCCGACATACCAAATTTCATAAGGATCGGCCGACTATATCCTATAGCTGCCATATAACTGATTGATCGGAAATGCCATAACTTTGGTGTTTGTAAAGTTAGGAAGTTGGGATTTTCTATGGGTGTTATATTTGGCCAGCCAATCCGACCTACCAAATTTCATAAGGATCGGCCGACTATATCCTATAGCTGCCATATAACTGATTGATCGGAAATGCCATAACTTTGGTGTTTGTCAAGTTAGGAAGTTGGGATTTTCTATGGGTTTTATATTTGGCCAATCAATCCGACATACCAAATTTCATAAGGATCGGCCGACTATATCCTATAGCTGCCATATAACTGATTGATCGGAAATGCCATAACTTTGGTGTTTGTCAAGTTAGGAAGTTGGGATTTTCTATGGGTTTTATATTTGGCCAATCAATCCGACATACCAAATTTCATAAGGATCGGCCGACTATATCCTATAGCTGCCATATAACTGAACGATTGGAAATGCCATAACTTTGGTGTTTTTAAAGTTAGGAAGTTGGGATTTTTTATGAGTATTAAGAATGCATCATATGAATAATTTTGGAGAATATAATTTACAGAGTATTCTGCAAGGGTATATCAACTTCGGCTCCGCCCGAAGTTAGCTTTCCTTTCTTGTTTTTATTTAACACTGTGTGTGTTCTCCTACCTCTAATGTTGAGCTTACCATGTTTTATAAATAAAACATGGCATTTAATTAAAACATTCGTGATGATTATTATTTTTTTATATTTTGACATTACATTTCTTCATGGTATTTTTAAAACAGTCTTTGTTCATTAAATTTACTTGTACTATAATGTGAAAAAAACGATTGCACAGAGAGTTTTCGCGAACATTTTTTTTGTGCCAATAAGTTTTTATAAAATGACATCGCTCCAATAAATGCTAACCTATTGAATTAAGTATACACTCAGAAGTAAAAAAGCGTTGCATTCTTTTGATAAAAAAAAATCGGATGCATTTTAAATTAAAAGTTTGGGTAATAATATAAATGTAAGCAACTTTAGAGGTTGAAGCAGTTAACTATTATTTGTTTTTTTGAAACAATAGCAAACTAATATGCCCACTAGGGTGATTAAAAAACATACTCTCACCGTTTAATATGGAAGGTTTTCAAGTATGTAGGTTTTGAAGTAAAACCAAAAAAATGGATTTAAGTTTCTATTAAAATTGCTCATACGACATTAAATGTCATTTAAAGCCAATGGTGCGTATGAGTGATAAACTTGAAATCCAATGTTTTTCAAAAAGTTCCTTATGGTATGCTTTTAATGCGGATAATATTAGCGGGTGAGAGAAGGACCTTAAAATTTGAATACAAATTTGAATCGCCCTTAGAACTGTAAAGACCTTTTTTTGGTGGTTTTTACTTTTTTACTCCATTTTCTTTTGTACCTTAAAGCATGCAGAACCCTACGTTTAGATGTGTTTCTCGTTTTGTGTATGAACCAACACGATTTTATGAAAGTTTTTTTCGCCTGAAACTCTACCAATGCAATGGCCTGGGATTAATTGCTTTTAATCGGTTAGACCTACTCACCCTCTCATACTGGTAGAACGATCGACTTGGTCCAGCGCGCCCGTACAGATATGGATAGTAGGCACCGTACATAACTTCGGGGCAGGACACTGCCATTGTCGCAGTTGCAATCGCACTTGCAACTGCAACTCGCACTCACTCACACTCACTCGCGACCGGAGAGTAATCACTGTTTTTGCGGTTTTTGCGATGAATGGTAGTTAAATTGGTATTGTCACTTGAGCGGGGAATTGTGATACCAATACCCGTAGTTCGAATCGGAATTGGAAGAGATACACGGAGACAGAGAGAGAGAGAGAGGCTGAAAACTTGGAGTAATTATAAAACCGGCTCTAAACTCAAGGCGCGTTTTGTTTTTTGTTGCAGTCGTAGTATTTATTTCTTTTGTTGGCTGGCGAAATTCCTGGAATGAAAACTCCGCTCGGCTAATTATATTTACATATTGTAAAACACCATCGCGTTTGTATCAAGAGCTATAATTGCTTTTCGTCTTTTTTGTTTATGTTTCTTTTAATTTTTTCTTTTTTTCTCTTTTCGCAAACTTCTTTCTATTCATTCGCCATTCCCGTTCGTGGGTATTTTCTTTTTCTTTTTGTTTTCGTTTCTTCCCCTCGTCGCTCTTCAACTTTCTTCACTTGTTTCTTTCTTCTTTGTTTGCTTGTGCAGGCAATTGCAATTATCATTTCCACATTGTTGATTGCTGTTAGTCGTTGTTTTCTATTTTTTTTTCTATTTTATGCGGCCATTCCCTTTGGCGTTGGAACGTCAATTTCGTTTCTCATCCGCGTTTCCGCCGAAGAATTGCCAACTGCAATGAAAATGGAGAAAAGTGCAAGAGAAGGCATTAACAATTTGCTAATTGTGGAAAGAAATTCAAAGCTGAAGAGCCAATTTCTGGCATTTATGTAAAAACCGACTTTAATGATGGGATTATTCGAACCATAAAGTGTGTTGCAAAGTAATTGCATGTAAACAAACAATGAACAAGGATTAAATATGGCCATTAAAACTCACATTAAAATTAATTACGAAAATATAAGTCCAACAATGTAAGGTATCAAAATGTTTTGCTTGAAATGCATAGAAAACTATGTAAAAGGTTTTGTAGAACGAGTTTATAATAAATATGCTAAAATACTCCGTCGGTACATAAAAAAAAACAATAAAATTAAAAGAACAAGAAAAGTTACACATTTTTTTATATTCTGTTGGAAATAAAAGCACCCGTTAAACCAAATATGCGAAAAATTTAGATTTGTCAAACTGACAGGGGCCAAATGTAATTAAAATTATGAATTGAAACTGGTTACAAATACAAAACTTACTGAACTTAAATTGGTCCGAATTTAAAAAAAAAATACACACGTATTCCGACGGCGAAAATTAATAGCTCTTAATTAAAGGACCGTCGGGAATAAAAAATAAGAATCTTTTGAACGCTAACTTTATAATTCAGCCTTACAAAGTGTAATTTGTACGTCTTACATCATTTAAATTTAAGGGGTGACATAAATATTGTAATAAATCTTCATTTTTTAAAGTTTTTAATCCTTTTACTATTCCATCATCAAAAGCAACAAGTTCAATGGTTTTTATGCGCAGAAAAATAGTAAATGGAAAATGGTAAAACGAATAAAGTTTGGCCAGAAATTAAAAAGTATTCGATTTATTTTAAATCAAAATTAGTTTATAATATATATGAATATGACAACCTTTTGCCTATCCCAATTTAAAGCTAGCCTTTTTAATAGTAATTAATTTTTGATATATTGTTTTCACGTTAGCGCATAGATCGAAATGTCTCTCAAAACTCTTGATCTTTCTTAAGCGGAATATATTCCAATTGGAAAAGTGCTTACATCTAATTTGACCCTGGTATCATGAATGAGAACTTACCACTTAGAAGTGTTTGTATAATCCAACTAGATTAGCAGTTTTCCTTTGCGTATATTAACAGAATATTCGTTCACTTTTTGGATAACATTCAACAATTTCACAACATATCTTGACTTTTTTTTTCTTGTATCGTTTTGTTGTTGTCGTTAATTTGAATAGTAATTAAAACGATACGCGCTGGGGAATTTGCACGTGAATACTTGAGATTTTGGCGCAGCTTTTTGTGCGAATATTTTTAACCGAAAACGAGCAGCAAACATTTGCCCGGCGCACTCAATGAAAATATTTTCGCTAAATCCACAAAATGCCAAATTCCATAAATTCTTGGCAGTGCGCGAAAGAGATAGGGATAGCGGGAGGGATTAGGAGCGGAAAGAGAACGGCACTAGTTTTGCGATGGCAGCATCCGCGGAAATCTCTATCTTCTGCGATGTGGCACTTGGAAAACAAATGAACTGCACTTGCCGCGATCGCTCACTGGGATATTCGAATTTTATTTCGTTTTAATTTCAGCGATTCTCGTTTTGAAACGAGAAAATCGCGCGCGGCGGAGAGGGAGAAACACGAAGAGCTCCGGCTGCCGCTCAATCGGAAGAGAAAAAACAAACTGGCTAAAGGAGCGGTGAATCTAAAAGCAATGCAATGCAGAACGCAGGCGGCGCAGTCGACGCAGCGTCGAAAACAAAATGGCAATTTCCCATCTCAAGTTGTCTCCCTCGCACGCTGCTTATATGACCTCAGCGAGAGCGAGACAACTGGTGTGTTGGAACGCACAAGGCACCGCCCACTTGATTGCTGCCGTTTGCAGTTGTTGTTTCCAGTTCCAGTTAACGATGCCACATCGGTGTGAAAATAAAATGGAGTGCGTCTCAATTGTGTCCTGAAGTAGACGAAACTCCTGCTGTTTCTCTGTATGTGTGTGTGTGTGCGTCTGATTTTAAAGTTCGACAAACAGATTGAAAGGAATTCACATTCGTCCGGGCCTTCTTCTTCGTCCTTTTGTTCCTTTCCGCAGCGAAAAGTATGCGCCAACTGTGTCAACAGTGTTTGCAGTGCCCCCGCAGTCCTTATTTTCCAACCTCCCCCACTCCCCAATGAACTCTCCACCGCGTGACGTTTCCGTATTGATAATAATCTGATTGCAAATGAATACAATTTATTGTGCTGTTCATTCGCCTTTATTTCGCCTCGGATTGTGAGCTGACAAGGTGCGGATGCGGAGAAGTGAGAGACGGGTTTTCTACTCCTTAAATTGTTAGATTCGCGATGGGAACCGGCTACCGAGAACAGAAAAACACCTTTCTCAAATGTTAAAATGACAGCTCCGCTTTAGCATGGTTAATACGTTTAGCAAAATAGTTAAGATCTACAATAAATATATTGTATAATAATTATGGTACTCAAATTGTGTTAGTACGGTTCATTGAAGCATTATCGGTGGTGCTACTTTGAATAAAATTCGTGTACGCACGTGTATATGGATAAAACATAGGTTTTCTGAATACAAATTTGTAGCATACTTTTAAAGACAAAATTTTCTTCAAGTGTGGGGAGGCTTGCAACCCAAACACCCCTCTTACATACGCCACTGCTAAATATGTAAGCTATTTGTAGTTTAAAAGGTGCTCCTAGCCTCTAATAAAGATGATAATTTAATAATAAGGATTTTTTCTCGCTTTCTGTCTAATAAGATACAAAAGTTTAATATGCAAAAATATGCAAAAATACTTTAAAAAGAAAATAAAATTTATTTGAAACAATTTTTAGATCTGTTAAAAGCCACCTGTTAAAAATCATAAATCATACAACATCACCGACGGGATCTTAGTCTTATTTGACATTGAAATACTGTAGTCATTTAGTGTACCTAAGTGAAACCTCTCGCAAGCGTTATAACATTCTTTTTATCTAACTGGAAACTTTTTTCTTTAACTCCCAACTGGAGTTTTTGATGTCATCACAATGGTGTTGTCGAGATAATCTAGCATAAAAACAGGTTTACTTTAAGTGTTTAAGTTCTACTCAATTAGTGTCAGTTCTAGCATAAATAGAATACTGAAAGACTTTTAAAATAGCATTTTAAAAATATATAGGTTATCTTCAATATTAGCTGATTCAATTAAGTATTCTTATTAGACAATTTTTGTTTGGGTATAACAACATAAAGTTTAAAATATAAGTTAATTGATTTTATTTTTAATCTATATTACGTATTGTATTAATTTTAGAGGTTCAAACTATCTTATTTACATGGCTCCTAAATCTATGCAATAAGAAATAAGTAACAACGCCCTCATCACCTTTAAGATACCCTCTGTTCGACCCATGAGCAGATTTACTTACTTCATAAAAATTGGTAGATATGCAATATCTTTAGTTCTCTTGTAGAGCGCCCAATTCTTAACAACCAACCAAATAATTAAAATTCAATTATTAAAGTACAAAACATACGCGCAAATATTTATTTTCTTACGAGTTTTCAATAAATTTGACTCTAGGCAGTCTTCTCGTACATTTTTCACGTTGTTTAACAACTCCGCAGCATGTTAGTCTTGGGAAATGGGGCAAAAACACACGAAGGGTTTTGGCGTAAAAATAAAAAGAATTGAATGCTTGGAAAGTCACAGGTAAAGTAAAATAAATGTTTCATCGAATTTAATTCACATCTAAAGAGTAGAGTTGTTTGAGTTTAAAGATGTTTAAGGCGTTAACCGCTTAGGATCGCGAGGGAACATGGAAGTCTTGCGGATGTTGTCCAATCCCAGATACAGCATCACCACGCGCTCCATGCCGATACCACCGCCAGCATGTGGAGGACATCCATAGCGGAAGGATTCAATGTACGCCGCAATCTTGGAGGTGTCTAAAAAAAGAGAAGGAATAAATAATGCAATATTTTGTTTAAACGAGTTATCTCTTGTTATCACTTAAGCAGTTATGAATGAGCACTGAAGTGATACTGTTACCCTGCAATTTATTTTGTCATTGAGTTCTAATCATTGTTTGTAGGAAATCTTGTGACTAGCTAACCTTAAGTTTTTTCAAGTTTATGCACTAGCATTTAGTATTGACTTTAACACAAATGAGAAGCATGATTTTTTATATTTAAAAAAAGAAATGCTTATAATAAATCAAAATTAAAATTTTCGAAAAATTAATTTTTAACATGTTGACTAAATATGACAAACTACAGCTAAAATATAAACTTGCAGAATCTGAGAAGGAAAACTTACCAATGCCATGGTGCTTGGCCCGCTCCATTAAGTACTCGGGATCGTGGATGCGCTGCGCCCCGGACAAAATCTCCTCGCCGCGCATGAACATGTCGTAGGAGTTCGAGTAGACGGGATTGTTCGGATCGGGCATTGTGTAGAAGGGTCGTATCGCCAACGGGAACTTGTCCAGGATGTAGAAATCGGTGTCGTACTTGGCCTTGACCAGGCGGCCCAGCAGCTTCTCGTTTGGCGTCGACAGATCCTCCTCGTCGCCCGTCTCCACACCGGCCTCGCGCAGCATGGCCACGCCATCGGCAAACTGGAGGATCAGCGGCGGCTCCAGGAACTTGAAGGCATCCACCTTGTACTGCTGGCCCACAGACTCAATCTCCCGGGCATAGTTGTCGCGCAGTCCCTTGAAAATGGCCGTAAATGTGTTGCCAATCGTGTGCAGCACTTCGTGGTAGTGGTACTTAAATGCCATCTCCAGATCGAGGCCCACGAACTCGGTCAAGTGCCGGTGGGTGTTCGAATCCTCCGCCCGGAAGACGGCGCCCACAGTGTAGACCTTGTCGAAATCGGCGGCGATTGCCATCTGCTTGTACAGCTGCGGCGATTGCGCCAGATAGGCCGAATCCTTGAAGTAGCTCACGGTGAACACGTTGGCGCCTCCCTCGCTGGCCGCCGAAATAATCTTGGGTGTGTGGATCTCAGTGAAGCCCTTCTCGGTAAGGATGTCACGGAACAGGCGGCACACTCCCGCTTCCAGGCGGAAAATGGCCTGATTCGCCGGCGTTCTCAGGTCCAGCACTCGATTGTCTAGTCGCGTGTCCTGATTCACGCGAATATTCAAACCTTCCGCATCATCGGCGTTCTCGGGCCGCGAGGCATCCTCGATTTGCAAAGGCAACTGAGCTTTGGCCTGGGAAATCACAAACAGCTGCTCGACGGACAGCTCCAGAGATTGCTCTGTGCAGGACTCAATCTTGCCGGATACCGCCACTGGCTTGGCCTGGATATCGATGATGCTCTCTTTGGGAATACTGTAAAAAGGAAAATAATTGTGGATTTAGTTCTCTGTTTTATTAAACACAGTGTTTATATTTGGTTAGTACCTTTTTTTCATCAAAATAAAGGTTTTTGAGTCTTTGGTGTTTAACATGGCAAACGGATATTAAAAAAGCGTTAATTAATCCTTTCAATGCCATACATGGCAATGAATTATTTAAGTTATCTATTCATAATTGTACTTTTGGCTTTGTTATTTAGCTACACAAAAAAACTTGCAAAAATGATTTAAAATTTATAACTAATCTTATTTTTAATTAATCATTAATCTGCCTATGAAAATGACATTTAAGGATATATGACAAGATCACAACATTGAATTATTAAAATGAATGATGTAAATATCTTTTGATCTACGCAATTGGAATTCGATATCGTGCAGTCGGTATAGACCCTAATACATATGGTTTATGAGTAGTTAAACTTCATCATATGCACTTACTTGCCCGCGAACTTGACCATCTGCTTGGATATGACATCGCCCACGGCCAGGATGCACTGCACCGTGCTGCTCTGCTGGCGCAGGATGAGAAAGCACTGTTTTCCCTTAGCTCGCGACGTGTGGACGCGTCCTCGCACCCAGACGAGTCCCTTGCCCACCTGGCCACTCAACTCGGACACCGGAACGAAGTTGCGTTCGCTGCGCTTGTCCTTGGACTGAATCATCTCGGAGAGTCCATATCGTCCACTGGCGTGATCTTCGGCAGAATCTCCGCCTGCATTGTTGGCGGCCACTGCGGAGGCAGTCTCCGCCTTCTGCTCGGCTTTCTGTTTGGATAGAGATAAGAGCTGTTATCAGAGGTTCAAGAATCAACGCACGCCACGTCTACAAAACGGAGACTCACCTTAGCAGCCTTAGCCAGCTTTTTGGCTCCCTTCTTGGAGACCTGCTCCCCATTTTCCACGTTCTCCTTGTCTTCGACCATCTTGGAATGCACAAAATTGGCTGTAAAGAAACGAGGGTGTATATTTTAATATGGGGCCACAAAACTAGACCGTAAACCACAGGTTCCGATAAGCAACAGGCGAAAGGAGGAGTACTTTGTGCGTTGCGTCATGGTTTATAAATAGCACTCGGCGGATGAAGTGCCCCATTTGCGGATAAATGACATTGGCTACCGGGCTGCAGTTCAGTCACCCGACCTCATCCCACGGATTCCATATGTCCGTAGAAGATTTCCGGGGCCGAAGAGCTCTTTGTCAAGCGGCATCGCACATAACCTAAACTTTGAAGACCTTTTTTCGCTGAATAAATGATGACACTCACTGACTGCCTCTTCACTTATTGATTTTTTCAATTGTACATTCAAGTGCACTCTGCTTACCAGCTAGATTTTGCCCTTTTAATACACAAACGAAAAGATTTCACGAGCGTCGTGTACTATTGCACATGCCAGCAGCGCGGTGCAGTCTAGTGATTGTTAATCGGAATTTGTCGAAAAATATCGATAGGTGCATGCCAGTTTGTAGGGTGACGCACATTTTAAGTGCCCTTCTGAGTTTGTTACCGAAATAGTTTAGACGTTTTAAACACAATACTGAATCTATAATAATTACAAAAAATTTGACAATTTAAATATATTTTATTTAGCTCAAGGTATGTATCCATGTTATAAATCACATGTTGTTTATCTAATAAAACATTTTATAATGAAAATGTTACTTTAAGGTTGTAGAGCTTATTAAATATTTCCTATTTGTAAAAAATATACTCTCACTTAAGAACTAGTTTGTAAGCTGAAACTAAAGAGTAAAATATATAATTTTGTATTTTGTAATTGATTGTTTTGTAATCATCGCTTAATTGTGGACCTTCTTAAACTTAAAATTCCCCCATCCCCATCGACAGTTACATCTTCGTTTCGATAACAGTCAGAAGACGCATCTCTCTTCGTTTTCAGAAACAATTATATTATTCAGAAAAACAACATCCAATCGTTTGTTTAGATTAATCCAGAGCGGAATCCGGAGGTAATAAGTCAATCCAAAAGCGTAATTTGGGTAATGGGAGGTAATAGGTCAAGGCAATCGAATTTGTAATAGTGTGTTTTCCCGGTAATTTCGAGAAGCTGGTAAATGAGTGAGTCACCATTCTAGCTGTGTATGTACTATTTGCGAAAGTGGTGCTCCAGCTGAACCAATTCAATAGCTGCGACTAGATTAAAGCGTGTAAGCTCTACGTATATGTTAAGTTATTAAGGGGGGCTTACCATTTAAAGAGCTCCGCGAAACCCACACATAAAAGCTTGAAAGGCACACGTCATATGGCCCCAACAAAACCAAACTGCGAAAGGTTATCACCAAGTACGCAAGTGCCAAATTGATTGATAATTAAAGTTGCATGCCCCCAAAGAGTGAAACTAGAAACTATTTACATTTCTTGGTCACTAATTTAATTAGCTAATGTTTTGTTATCATCCTTTTCGTTGCAGGTAAAAAACCATCGAAACAATGCAAGGTGAGTGAAAAGAGAACAAGCCGAACTAACAGAAAGTTTTGGATCTACGTCTACTCCACAGCGGTATCGGAATTAGTAATCTCTGCAGAGAAGACCCTTGAGAATGTCGTGGCAAAGTGTTCCCCAGTATCCCCAGTACCAAGGTTGATTATTTTGACTTCTAAGCGAGTGTTTCTGCTTTCCGGTTAATGAACGCATGCTTTTGTTTGTCCCTGGGGGCTTGTGGGCTCTTTGAATGCCCGTAATTCCCCGATCCGCCCTGAATTATGATTCACTTCCATTACTTTTCTCTTAACATACAGTATTTGTCCTGTCTTATCATGGTTGTATGTACATATTTGCTCGAGAGTTCTATCTTGGTTTACCGCATCTCTTCGTCACAGCGAAGCGTTTCATTTAGTTTTTACAGTTCTTGGTAGACAGATAGCAGTAGCGAAAAAATCTTGGACGCTCTAATTTTGATTACGAACTAAAAATACATGTCTTATCCCACAGATCCTAACCAGCAGTACAATTATGGCGGAGGTTATCCGCCTCAGGGAGGATATGGCGGTGGATATCCGCCTCAGGGAGGCTACCCGCCGCAAGGACCTCCACAGGGTTATCCGCCCTACGCCCAGGGAGGTGCTCAGCCCTATCCACAGCCCTACGGGCAGGGGCCACCCGGTGGTTATGCTCCTCAGCCGGGCTTTATCCAACCACCGCCATCGGCGGGCGGCTATGGAGCATACGATGATCCGGAGAGCCAGCCAAAGAACTTCTCCTTCGACGACCAGAGCATCCGACGCGGTTTCATACGCAAGGTTTACCTGATTCTGATGGTGAGTACCTTAGCAAGCATATTTATTTCGACTAATTGTGTATTTTCTTTAGGGACAACTCCTCGTCACTTTTGGAGCGGTTGCGCTGTTTGTGTTTCACCAGGGCACCAAGGATTTCGCAGGTCGCAACAGGTGGCTCTTTTGGGTGGCCCTGGGCGTGATGATAGTGACCATGCTGTCGATGGCTTGCTGCGAAAGCGTGCGCCGCCAGACACCGACGAACTTTATATTCTTGGGCTTATTCACAGCAGCTCAATCTTTTTTGATGGGAGTTACGGCCACCAAATATGCGCCGAACGAGGTGAGTGCTTTAAGTCTTTATGGCAGAGTATTTTACTATTAAAATTCACCCTTTCTTTCAGGTTCTCTTGGCGGTTGGCATAACGGCTGCTGTTTGTCTTGCCCTAACGATCTTTGCCATGCAGACCAAGTATGACTTCACTATGATGGGCGGCATCCTGATCGCATGCATGGTGGTGTTCATAATCTTTGGCATTGCGACTATTTTCATTAAGGGAAAGATTATCACACTGGTGTATGCGTCCATTGGAGCGCTTCTTTTCTCCGTTTACCTCGTCTACGACACCCAGTTAATGATGGGCGGCGAGCACAAGTACTCGATCAGCCCCGAAGAGTACATCTTTGCGGCGCTGAACCTCTACCTGGATATCATCAACATATTTATGTACATTCTAACTATAATCGGCGCATCGCGCGACTAAACTCTTCGATTTCCATAAATTGTTTACAGTTTAACCGGGTTTAGCTTTAACCGGAATACGAATGTTGTCGCGTAATCTCATCGGTATTTACACCCTCCCCAGTGGAGGCAATCTTCAACTAACGAACTACTCAAATACTTACGATCTATCTACTTCGCGTTGTTTTTTGCCAATTTCCGGTTTCCTTTTAGTTCTAAATGTCAGTTGAGGGTAAATGAACTTAATTGCTTTTCGTTATGTATGTATTTGTATTCTTGATTAAGTTGAGGTCTGAATCTAGCGCGTGTTTTCAAAATTGCCCCAAAAATAACTATATATGTATACCAAATGATATGCCATTCAGATACACAGAAAAACAATAAATAGTCACGTATAAACATATTTATGTGAGAATATATAAGCAAGATGGCTTGCAATTGTTAAAAAAAACATTTTACCGTGTGTAATCACCAAGGAATCCCGATATTTGCAACTATGAATCAAGTACCGAACATTGTAAACCGTGCAGCGACACTGAGTTTAAAGTCAACAATAAAGCGCATCTATTTATTAAAGCCGCCACAGACCCCAGCATTGTAGGGCTTCCGTCAGTGGTTGATCCAGTTCCACCAACCAGCCACCACGAGATGCAACTTCAGTCTGCAATGGGAGAGCAACGTTGATGGTCGGATTACGACTAGACCTTTATCGACTACTGTTTGCTTTATCATTGCTTAAGTTTCCTTTGTTATCTGCACCACCACAGCTAAAAGACGGGGTGTTTTAATTTTTGGGTTGGCCCCACAACATGCTTTTGACCCGGCCACCTGTTCAGTAGTTCGTGTGAATTCCAGCAAGGCGTAGCAATAAAATGTATCACTACCAGCAAGGCAAGTACCGTCCGGGTCGGGCTAAACCAGACCAATTTGGCTGCGGAAGAAGTGTTTTTTGATTAGATAATCGGTACGGCTATAATATATAGTTGACTGCAATATGCTCTCTCTGTAAAAGACCAAATGAAATGTAACTCTCTCGGCGCACTTTCATCTGATAAGACAGCAGAAAAGGTTCTGCTCAATACTGTGATTCATTCATTTCAAGGGAGAGTGCATAGCCGTGTTTAAAATATTGTGGTGGCAATATCAGTAACTTACTCACCCACATCGATATATGAATCTTATCTGAAGTATGAGTGTGGACTGGTGATAAGAGTCGAGTCCCGGCTAATCTGTCGCCCATATGGGGACACCTGAAAAGGCGATTCGGTTTCATTAAGCTGATATACTTACACGTTGCCGGCAGTCGGGCAAAGAGAGACACTTTACTTTTAACCATGAGCAGCGACAACCACTTTCAGTACGGTTAGTCATTGTATTAATTTTAATATTTCCTTGAATTGTCCTCCAACCTGACAGGCGATGAAACTGGCGCATATACAGATGCGGAGGCGGACAAGAGCTTCGCCTTTGATGACCAGAGCATCCGGAAGGGATTTATCCGGAAGGTCTACTTGATATTGATGGTAAGTCTTTAATTCGTCAGAGAAAAAAGTTAAAAAAAAATTTTTTTATTTATATTATCAAAAGTATACAAAATAAGAATTCTAAATTTTATGACCTACAAAGGGAAGGTTTTGATATTGATTTGTTTTTACGTTTTATTGCTTTATAGATTTCTTTCAAGCCATTAATCTATGATTTGTGTTCTATTTTTAGTGCCAACTGCTGATCACTTTCGGTTTTGTTTGTGTGTTCACCTTCTCGAAAGCCTCGCAGGAATGGGTACAAAAAAATCCTGCCCTTTTGTGGATAGCATTGGTAAGTATTTACATATGTATATTAATTTAGAGAAGTTGTCTTTAGAGTAACATAATAAAAACTTCATTTTTAGGCCGTTCTGATCGTGACCATGATTTGCATGGCCTGCTGCGAAAGCGTGCGCCGAAAGACGCCGCTGAACTTCATCTTCCTGTTCCTGTTCACCTTGGCGGAGTCCTTCCTTTTGGGAATGGTTGCTGGACAGTACGAGGCGTCTGAGGTCATGATGGCAGTGGGAATCACGGCGGCAGTGGCCCTGGGACTCACCCTGTTCGCCCTGCAGACCAAGTACGACTTTACGATGTGCGGTGGAGTGTTGGTGGCCTGTCTGGTGGTGTTCGTCATCTTTGGCATCATCGCGATATGCATTCCTGGCAAGGTGATCGGACTGGTCTATGCTTCCCTGGGAGCTCTGCTCTTCTCCGTTTACCTGGTGTACGATACCCAGTTGATGCTGGGTGGTAATCATAAGTACTCCATCAGTCCTGAGGAATATATCTTCGCCGCACTGAACCTCTACCTGGATATCATCAACATCTTTATGTACATACTGAGCATCATCGGATTGTCTCGATAGACAGGACATGCTGATCCGTAGTTTTCATTCCAGTTTTAGAGATATATAACTTAATTTTATGTGCCCAGTGCCACCTTAGCCACGAAGAAATACAGACCGACTAACTAACCGTACGTAGTCGAGAGCTCGCTTTGATTTGGGGATTTGGTTTGGGATTGGGGGCGCTCAACTAGTTCGAACCTTGTCCACGCCGCGGTGTCCAATTAATTAATGCGCACGAGTGGCCGTAATGTAATTATGTCCAATCAGCCCCTGCAGCGCCGGCAGTTCCTGGACCGGATTGGATGTGGACAAGGTGATCGACGAGATCGTCAGTTGCGCGAGCGTCTGGTTAACGGGCGGACATGGATTTCGACGAGGTGCTGCGGGAGGTTGGCTCCTTTGGACTCTACCAGAAGGTCATCATCTGCTCTGTCCTACTGCCGGCGGCCCTTCCCTGCGCGTTCCACGCCTATAGGTGGGTCATCCTTAAGAGCTCCTTTTTTTTCGTAATATTCACTCCTAAAGCACATATAATAGATTAATGTTAATAATAATGCATATATTTTTTGCAATGTATACATTTTAATGACTAAGCTATGTATGAATTTTCTATTTAATACCCTTCTTATCATCAAAACATTTAACAAAGGCTAATAATCATGTTTCCTATAAATAGAAACAGTGTAAAAATGTCAATAATTTAAAATAATTCTATTTATAAAAAGTAAAAGTAATTGTAAACAATTACCTAATGATACGGTGATCTTTCAGTCAGTTATTCATAGCAGCCACTCCGCAGCACTTTTGTCGAGTTCCGGAGCTAGAACCCTGGACACAGGACTACGTGCAGCTGGTAAAAAACTTGAGCATCCCGCGCAATCGCAATGGAGCCTATGCCGAGTGCTCCATGTATGCGAGGAATTACAGCGATATAGTTCGCTATCTGGAGTATCGCCCGCCTCCAGATTTGCTCCGTCAACAAGCCGAGGATTTGCTTAAGTTGCAGCCGGAAACGGCGAGGATAGTTCCGTGTCAGCATGGATGGCACTACGACAAGTCCATCTACTCTAGCACGGTTGTTCAGGAGGTGGGTATTTCTAATTTGAATATAAGTATAATCATTTTGAAATGTACTTGGTTATCCGTGAGTTCTGGGTACTTACATCTTTTATAACATTTAAAATTTTTATAAATATTTCTCTACCTTATTTATTCCCCTTGAAGTGGAACCTGGTTTGCGATCGAAGCTTTCTGGTCACCCTGGCCTTGGTGGTTTTTGGTGTAGGTGGACTTCTGGGTAACTATGTATTCGGATATCTAGTGGATTTGTGGGGAAGACGGCCTTCATTCTACGCCTATCTGCTGCTCGAGATCACCGCATGCGCGGCCAGTGCCTTTGCCTGGAACTACTACACCTGGTTGGGACTGCGCTTTGTGGTGGGATTGACGGTGCCAGCGATCTTGGCCAGTCCATATGTCCTGGCCATCGAGCTGGTGGGTCCGGAGAGGCGAGTCTTCTGCACCATCGTCTCAAATATAGCCTATTCCTTGGGCTTGGTGGTGCTTGCCGGAGTCATCTACGTCGTCCGGGATTGGAGGGAACTTAGTTTGGCTGTTTCCATGCCTTTGCTGATGCTCTTCTCCTGCTTTTTCGTGCTGCCAGAATCACCGCGATGGTTGATGGCTGTGGGCAAAACCAGGAGAGCCATCAAAATCCTCAAAGTGATGGCCAGAGTAAATGGCGTACGAGTAAACCGTGATTTTGTGGAGCGTCTGCAACGGAAATTGGTCAGCAAAAGGGCTGCGGAGGCGCATTCGTCGTCAAGTACCCACTACGGAATTCTAGACCTGTTCCGTGGACCCAATATGCGTCGGAAGACCCTGATCATCACACTGATTTGGTTTGCCAACACAAGTGTCTACGTGGGATTAAGTTACTATGCTCCTGCTCTTGGAGGTGACGAGATCTGGAACTTCTTTCTGGCCGGAGCGGTGGAACTGCCCACGTATCTGTTGCTTTGGCCAGGATTGAGCTACTTTGGAAGGCGATGGATCCTGTTCATCTCGATGCTGGTGGGCGGATTAGCCTGCGTAGCCACGTTTCTCTTTCCGGACATCACACTACTGCTCTACTGCGTGGGCAAAATGGGCATTAGTTCGTCCTTCGTGGTCCTCCCGCTCATGGCATCAGAATTGTATCCCACGGTGGTTCGAGGACTCGGAATGAGCTTCAGCTCGGTGGTGGCCATGGTGGGACCTATAGTGATTCCCATGATTAATCATATGGTGAGTGCGGATAAGGGTATTACGGGGATCCCTATTTCTCACTCTTTTTCCATTGCAGGGCCAGCAAATGCTCGTCTTGCCGCTAATTGTAATGGGTGCTCTACTGATTCTCGGAGGATTCGCCAGTCTTCTTCTACCGGAAACCCGGAACCGAAATCTTCCCCAAACTTTGGACGAGGGCGAGGCGGTGCCCCTCAGTTTCCTCCTCTGCTGCTGCGTGGAAAGCGAGCGAAAGCCCAATAATATCCGTGCGAATCCGCAGAAAAGAATTATTCCGGAGGCCGGAACCCCAGTGTTTCATCGCGTGGACACTCCTGTCTCCGGACGAGTGGCCTGCAAGGTCGTTTGTAGCATATGTAATAAGGAGATGCGTACTCTGTAGCTAGTTAAAAGTTGTTGAAATTAAAACCCTTTTAGAGTTTGAAAAAATTTGTAATTGATTTGAATTTATGGCGCCATTCGTTTTTTGCCATCTGGCTACGCTACTTCCTATGTTTGCATGTGTTATACAGTGGTTGTGTATTGTAAAAAAATATTGTTTTTGAAATCCATTTTATATTAATTAGTTTCTCAAATAGACAATCCAACAGTGTTTAAATGGTTATGAGTTTTCAGAAATTCAAAATTTTAATCGAAGTCCTAAAGAAAATCAATGTTTTATTAATATCTGGCAACGCTTATTTTTTTTAAGTTTGTTTGGTTTTACAGTAGTTTTGAGAAATATAGGTTTAGTTCTTTTAACAACTATTTTAAATATTCTCAATATTATACATTTTTTTTTTAATACAAGATTATGTTTTATTTAATAAACCATTTATTCTTATTTATTTGTTGTATACATATGTCTTTAAACCAAGTTGGCAGCCCAACCGGCAAATTTAACTGGTGCGAAAATCAAACAAAATAAAAAAACCAATTGGACACATAATAAATATCAATTCAAGTTCCATATTTTTCCAGATATAGAATTTGTAGTACATGTTCATATGACCTCGCCAACTGATAGTAACGCAAACATTTGCATCAACCTTATTAATTTTTTATGGGTCGTCGAAAAATGATAAGGAACCGCAATCGCTTGTTTATGCACACACAGAAACTTCAAGAAACATTCCGGTTAAACTGGCCTAATCGCAATTTTAAGCCAATTTAAACGTGACGCATAGGAAGATTTTCAAATCAAAACCCACGAGTGCCGGCATGTTTCAGCTTTTCACCTTTGCATTTGGCTAGATAATTATGATGTTACGAACGGGTTAAAGTTCCTTTTAAAGGAGGGTTTGGTACCATCTGGATTTTTAACTTTTTTCATTTCAATGTCAACAAGTTTTGACTGCCGCGTGCTTTTTTGCCAGCCCCTCCCTTCCCGCACCCTAAAGCCCTCACACAAAAGCGTTGCTATGCATACACACACAGGCTCACTCACACACATGTCGATTATGCAAGCAAACTAACTAACAATGAAATGCCAGAAATATGAATAGTTCGTATGTTTTTTACAGTTCTTTTAATGTAATGCTTGTATGATGGTCTAAAACAATAGTTTACAAATTATAAAAACGTTTTCAACAATTTTGGTACATCGTTCATGAATCGAAATCAAATAATGGTTATGGTTTCAGCTTGTTTACGTTTTGAATTGAGGAGTGTTGAAGGGGGGGTTTACATCGAGAAGTCGGAAATTCGGGAAAATCGGTAAGAGCTAATGCTAAAAATATATTCCTCTGTCTTCGCGACCTGGCAATGACTTTCCTGGAGTGTCTGCGTTATTCCCCTAATCACCTCGTTTCAATTCTTCCGAAAACTGTATATAGTATATATAGTGTATTACGAGCGCATATATCTATAGATACATTTGTGTATGTTCTTGGGAGGGCGGCAAAAATTAGAATGTGTGTGTTATTTGGACTTTTGGTTTTTTGGTTAAGGAAACGTGCTTTAATCGCTTTGGAAAATACATTTGACGGTTCCAAACTATTACTATTAGATTAAGATTGAAGGGTTCCCTTAGTGTTAAATATAGTTATTATGCTTATGTGTTCTGTTCAGCGCTCACTCGGATGCCTTTATTTTTTGTATTTTAGTATAGTGTGTAGCATTACCCCCAAAAAGTGGCCAAAGGGAGACCGAAGGATGACCCATCCAGGCACGTACCATCACAGTCCGGAGTGGTTCCGAATTGGTTACGGAATGGGGAGTGGTACTGGGTAAAGTTGGTGTAATTCCGACTGCTCGGGGGGTGCGTCCTGTATGCCGCCCCTTCAGTTTGCTCCCTAGCCGTATGTTTTGTATGTGTTTTTGTGTTCGGTGTGTGTGGTGTTGTTTTTAGGTGATTTGTCCAGGTGGACAAGGATGGACCCGCTTAAGCGGAGGCCGCCACCTCACCGGACTTCTCCTCCTTTGTACCGGCAATGGCCACCTCCTCGAAGTTCTCGACCAGATCGGGCACATCATCATCACCGGCATCGACGGCCGAGGAACCGGCTGCGCCGCCGGCGGCGCTCTTGTTGGCAATCTCCGTGGCCAGCTTCTTCAGCTGGTTGATGTCCTGGGGTCCAAGTTGCGTCAGGATGCCGGGAACCATCTCGGTGATCGTCTTGTTCTCCCCATGGCCGGTGATGGCGAACGTGTTCGTCGGCAGCGAAGCCTGGGCCTTCGGGTTGTTGAAGTGGATGACGGTGCCATCGTTCTTGATGATGTTCACCTCCTCGATGCCGGGGATGGTGTTCACCGACAGCTTCTTCAGCGACGACTGCAGCTTCTTGTCGTCGGTGGCGGGCGTGGAGTGGACAATCTTCTTCTTGCGGCGGGGGGTACCCTTGCCGCCAATGCGCACCTGCGCCTGCAACTTCTTCAGCTTCTCCGGATTCATCTGTTCAACGAAAGACACACAATATACCGATTAGTAACACCCCAATCGAACAGCGCACAATTTGATATTTACTTTGATTTTACTATAATTTAGCACAGAGCCTTGCCCGAAAACACGTGCGCCCAGTTGTAGTCAAATGTCAAAAAGAAATCGCCATGATAAAAATGGCAAAGCAGTATGTATATGTGAGTAGTACTGGTAGGAAGTACTAAACGTCAGTGTTGACTATCGATAACTAACGAGGTGGCAACGAAAACGAGGAAAATATATTTAATTAAGTTGTTAATAGAAATATTGAGCTCTTTAAATTAGTCTAAAAAAGTTTCTTAATTATTAAGTAATATGTTTGGTTTTTCATTTGCTCACTACTATCAATAGTTTTAAATGGTTTTTTGAATTCATAAATTACGATGCTTACAGCACTGGCATGAAGCCATACGCAAAAAACAATTAAACTTTAATAAATGAAGGAAAATTTTTTCGTCTTCATAATATTTTGTCTATCGACACTTACAATAATAAAATTTTTTTTTAATTTCAATGTTCAACACTTTTGAATGGCACACAACATTTGAAAAGTAAGCAACCTTAAACGTCTTTATTAAACAACAAAAACTTGTAGGTATTATTTTAAACACCTTTTCAAATTTTATTTTTTGCCCTCTTAACTGCAATCGATAGTTTTATAACACAGCTACTCGTGAGTTCACTAAACACAGCTCGCAAACAGTGCTGCGAAACGCATCTCAGATAATTGCATTTTGCAGCACAGCACTTATCGTGCTATATAAAAAGTATTATTTACAGATTAGACGTTGATAAGATATTATAGCTGATTTTCATCAGGCTTTAATAAAGACCGTTCGATTGGGTAAGGCATTATTTCATTAGGTTACACGTGTGATTTGAACAAAATTTTTGAAACTTCGACAGCTTAGCAGTGAATTTCTGTGCATTAAACTGCAACAAGTGGAATATTTGATTTTAAATAATCAAAACAGGGGAAGCAGCAATCCTTTGTCAAACGTAAGTATTTCAGAAGGGTTTATTGACCTTGAATTGTAATAATACATCTGTATTTGTAATTCTCCGCCCAGTGGACTACTTTGAATTGGAGGACTCCGATAATTTCGCCATGGATTTCTGGGGAATATTTATGTTTTTTCTGCTTACTTTCCTCATCATGAGTTGCTGCGGATATTGCTGTACCAGCAGACGCCAGGGTGCCGTTTTGTCCAGTAAGTATATATATAATTAGAGCTATTAATCATATAAAACCCCACGATGAGTCATTTCCCCACCAGAAAAAAAAACGGGTGGAGTTTGCCCGGCTTGAAAAACAAATTTTAGTTTCATACATATTTGTGTGCGTGAGATTAGTATACTTTTGTTGATTCGTGCTAAGTCGTGATAAATAATAAAAATACAGTCATAATGAACAGAGGGATTTAAAAACGGAAGAGAGAGCTTTTTCTTTGTCTCTCTTGAAGTCTTTGCTTCTCCTCAGATTCGTAAACAAAATCAGATATGCACAGCCATAAACTTAATTTACTTTATCAGCATGTGTTCAAATAATTATCTAATTAGTGGTCGTATCGAACTCTTATCTTATCTTATCCTACATTATGATGTGTCTCTTTTTGGCCAGGATTTTCCCATTTTTATTAACATTTTTTTGTCTACAAAATTTGGTTTTTTGTTTGCAGATATGGCTATATATAGTGTTTCTTTTTTAATTTTAATATTTTTCTCTAGTAATTTAAATGACTCATTCAGTAGCGGTTGTCGATAACAAATTGATTTATTTTTATGATAAGCAACTGACAATGGTATCCAAGGCATAGAGAAATACCTTCTCCAGTATTCGTCCGACTTTAAAACCGTTCGCGTCGTTAAAAAAAACACTTTTAAAATGGTTTACATATACTTCGATGTCTGGTTCCCCATTATTATGGTGTTCTTTATAGTGGTTTTGATACTGATCTTGTGGCGGGCTCGTCGATCCCGTCAACTTCGAATGGGAAACGCCACTGTGACTACTGCCGGTAAAAGCAAGTCTTTAAATAATCATCTTTAGATGACCGATGGTATTATCTCCGATTCTTGGAATCGCTCGAGACAGCTGAACTATCGAAATCTAATCACAAGTGCTTTGAGACCAAGTCGCCATTTGCATCGAGCACCTTTAATTATCGCTTTAATTTACAAATCATTTATGCTGCCATTTCCCTCAAATCGAATCAGATAATCTGAATTTGCAAACGTTTGACGTCAAGTCGTGTTTTTTCTTCTTACTTTTAATGTTATGATATTAAATTATATTTAGTGGTGTTCCAATTTGGCGATAGGGTTTTGATTAGATGCCTAAAAGTAGTTGCTTCAAGGTTCATGGGAAAACCGCCACAATCTGCTTTTACAATATGTTAGCAGCGGAAAATAGGTTTTTTTAAAATTATTTTTTATAAATTTTATTTTTTATTTTCCAATTAAATTAAAAATATGAAACTAATTTTACATCGAACATTTTTGAATAGATATTATATTCTAAAAGTCTGGATTTAAAGAGCTTGTTTCTCACATTACTTATAATTATGTTAAAAGCATATCTAAAATAAATAGCCAGAAATTCATTAGAGACCTTTTAAAAACCTTACTTGATAGTCAATGCAAGTAATTAAGTTAAATCTCCCCAGGATAAATATATTTGCTAAAAATTGCACTGGTAAGAAATAAGATACTTTCTTGGTAGATTGTCAGCAATAAGATTGTTGTTTCAGTACTTGAAATTTGTATTTCTTGTGTTTCTGCAGAATGTTTTATTGTTTACCATCCACTCTTGTATCGATAAGCGTAATTAAGTTATATGATTACTACTAACGTCATTGCCGATCACAGATTTGTGAGAATTATAGAGGGTAATCGCATCAGGTAGAGGATCCCCCAAAAGTAATAAATTTCAAAAGACCCATTTTCTTTTTTGATTGATGCAGACTATTGACGCAGGTTTCCAGCTGTAAATAAAATGTCCACTTGAGAATTTTTATGGTCCCCCCCGATTCTATGCTAGCTTTTGGCACCGGTATCAGGACTATATGGCGTCTTTAAGCCGATTAAAAGCGTAGACCGTCATCACCGATACAACGATGGGTGCTAATCTTATCGGGTCTTTTCACCCTCCGCTTTTAACTGCCTTTGGAAATCCAAAGACGGTCTGGACTCTTACAAAAGTCGGCGAGGAGGTTCATCCATTTCTCAATTATCGTCGAACGTCTGCGCAATGTACAATAGGAACGGAGCGCAATTTCGCATTACCGTGGCGTAGATTCAATACCCATCGCAAAATCTTCAAGACTGCCTGCCAATCGAATTTATTAGTTAGTAACTTGTTGTTAAATAGTAGTAACTGCTTTCGAAAAGATGCCGCATGTGCCGGGCGAGAAGGATCTGGAGGTATCCACCATTGTCCTGTGTTCCATATTCGGTGTGGTCCTTTGCGGAGTCCTGGTCCTCATTATCCGCTCGGCGATTCGGAAAAGGAACCAACGGCTGGCCGACAAGGGCGTGATCGAAGCAAGTTAGTATATGGTCCACTGGAGAAGACCTCTGATTTCTTCCTGTGTTGTGTCTTGCCGTGTTGCCCGCTGACTGATCTTTGTGTTACAAGTTCCCCTTGTGTTGTTTTGTCCAAAATGTTGGAGAACAATCCTGTTAATTATACAAAATGTCTAAGTATCCTTTTCGCTTAACTTTTTTGTTTGTTTTTTATTTATCTTTATGTTTGTTATTGTTTAAGAATTTCATCTTATTCCTGTATAGCTACTATATAATAAAAATAAAGTCTAATTAAAAGATCTTATAAAATGAAAACATAAGACCAAAGCTGTATAAAGATATTACAATGATATGAGGAAGAGAATTTCACAAAAGCAGGCTGTACAGTTGTCACAATTGTTGTTCATTTGATTTGAATAAATAGTGAGAAAGTTTTACACAATATATTTTCAAAACAGTTGTGCAGTTGTTTTTATACCCGTTACTCGTAGAGTAAAAGGGTATATTGTATTCGTGCAAAAGTATGTAACAGCTAGAAGGAAGCGTTTCCGACCCTATAAAGTATATATATTCTTGATCAGGGTCACTAGCCGAGTCGATATAGCCATGTCCGTCTGTCCGTCTGTCTGTCCGTCTGTCTGTCCGTCCGTATGAACGCTGAGATCTCGGAAACTATAAAAGCTAGAAGATTGGCATTTTGCATGTAGATTTTTGGAGTTCCTACGCAGCGCAAGTTTGTTTCAAACTGGTGCCACGCCCCCTTTAACGCCCACAATCGCTTATATACTATTTTAAAAATTTAAATATTTCGGAAAAGTAAAAATGCAGTTTTATTGTGTTTATCAATACCTATCGAAATGTAGAAGAAATTTTTCAAATCGGACCATTCGTTAAAAAGTTATGCGTGATCAAAGTTTCTATCTCCATCTCCCTCGCACTCCCTTTAGCTGAGTAACGGGTATCTGATAGTCGGGGCACCCGACTATAGCGTTCTCTCTTGTTTTATTTAAAAAAAGGAAATACTTAAGATGTTTCAAGATAGTGGAGTAATTAATGTCCAAATTTTTTAATTTTAACTATATATAACCGCTTCAGACTTTTGATTCAAATATATAATATTATATATATTAGTTTCAAAAAATATCCCATCTTCGATTGCTTTAGTGTCATTTTTTTCAAAAGCCCAAAAGCAGACTTTACAAAACATCGCTAATGTGTTTAATTTGAATTAAACAAATGATAAGAGATAGTAAACCGAATTGTTTACATAGAAAAAATAATTGAGTTTAATGGTCAAATAATAAAAAGCAACGTTTTTGTGATTTTTTTCCTGACGACACAGTTAAAATGTATTTACTCAACGAAATAAACATTAAAGTGTGACATTCGAAGAATGCCTTATCAAATTTTTACAATGAAATATTCAAAAGTATGGCAATGGTAGCACTTGTCCGGACGTGTCTCAAAACAAAGTTAAATTGCGGTGCCCCTCAAACTTTGAAAACGTGAAGTGTGGGAAAAACGCTTTAAAGTTTTGGATACCCATAACTTCGGATATTTTACTCGGATCAATCTAAAATTTTAACGCGACATTCTTCAAATGTTGTGCACTCAAAAAAAAAAAATTTTTTTTTTTACCCTCTCCTTAATGGTAATTTTAAGATATTAACTAAGAAATAAAATCTCGATTATCTTAAACTCATAAAGCGCAAATATTTCTTTCTAAAACCTGCGTGGTTACAAGCAGGTTCAGATTAAATTCAAAACATTTAATAGCTTCGTGTTATTCAAACATTCATCAAAGCGACAATAAAAAGTATATATTTGATAACTAAGAACTGATAACATAATATAAAATAATATGTTTCAGTGACTGGGTCCATTTTACATTCTCGTTTAGTTCGCCAGAAAAATTAGTCCACTTTTTCGGTTCGGCAATTTCAAAATGCTTACATATACTGAGATATGGATAATAACCATCTTTATTGTAATTTGCATACTCTTGGTTTACTATCTGTTAATTTGGGCTTGCAACTATCATATTAAATATTGCAATGGTGGGTACTTTTTAAAATAAATTTGTATCGTATTCTTAATAGGGTCAAAAATACAAATCAAAAATTTTAAATTAATAGAAAGTACTTATTATGTTGCAAGATACTGCAGTAACATGGGCAACATTTTTTAATTCGAATTGCTTTAAGACTTAATTTTAATTTAATTGCTTTAGACTTATATATCATATATTTTTTTCATATATTGCTTTCCCTGAAACACCCACTCTATGAATTAAACAAATTATAAAAGAGATTAAACCGAAAAATTGACATAGTAACAAAATTTGTCATTCTTGTGTTCAATGCGGAAATTCCAGTTCGTTCGTTGATAAATTAATTTGTGCAGACAGTATTGGTTAAATTAAGTTCAATTTACGATTGGCCCTGAGCTCTTATTTTTTTTGATTGGCTTGCTGTTTTTTTTAATAACGCCTTTTAAGATATTTTTCCTCAAAACAAGAAGCTCAAGCTTCATGCGAGTGTGAATAAATTTTATCTTTACCTAAGAAAATTTATAGAAGTTTCTATAATTTATGCAAAACGTTTTAAAGCAAATCAGACTTAGTAAAAGCTTAAAAAAAGTTAATATGTATATGAAAATTTAATGTAGAGATACACTACCTACTTAT